TTGTTACAAATATAGTAGAATCAATATGTAGAATTTGATGATGCGGAATTGAAATAGAACACACGAGACAACGATTTTACGTGGTATCCTCGATCGATTGATTGATCGAGACTAATCCACGGTAAGCTCATAAGAACTCACGGCTGATCTCTTATTAGGATTACATCTTGACGACTTGCTATCACACAAGTCGATAGCTAAGCTTATATAGATAAACTTAGGGTTAAAACCCTAATCCAACGAATCAGACGAGGCCCAACAAGGCCCAATACTAACACGGTTTAAGTAACCGCAACACTCCCCCTCAAGCGAAGACATGAATGACAAGAATGTCGAGCTTGAAGAAGTAAATGTGAAGAACAAGCATGATGGCTTGAACCACAAAACTCGAGATTAATAACATCTCGGACGAGGTTGATTGGAGACGACTGACTCTCTCTGAACAACCTGATGATGGAGACGATTGACTGCGTCTCTTGAACTTGAACACACCTGGTACATCGCGGTCGACCTGATGACTGAGGTAGTCGACTGACGTATGTGGACCTCCTATTCTCCCCCTCAAGCTGGAGCATGAACATCGTGAATGCCCGGCTTGAAAAGCGATGAATGGTTGAAATGTGCCCACTAATGAACCGGAAGAGGGGACGACCATTTCTTAGATCGTGAATGCCAACTGGACGATGAAGGGACGATGACTTCTCTGATCGTACTACCTTTTGAACGCCAGGGGACGACCATTTTATGAATCGTGGATGACTCGACCTGATGACTGGAAAATTTTGTTGACATAAGCTGTTGTTTCTCCCCAACACTAGTTATTTGAAGAGATGACCACTGTCGGTCATGATTGCCTTCACGCCATGACTGTGATGTTGGTGAAGATTGGCTTACTGTGCAACATTCTAAACTGAATGAAATAAGCGGCAGCTGAGAGTTGCCTTGATGAATATGACCCCGGCTGCAACGTTGAGAAGACTTCTAGACAAAACACAGCCTTTGACTAAACTCGGTTGTTGATGGTGGAAGCGGATGAGATCGCCTGTTTGGTGACAACCGCACTAGCTACAAGATGGAAGGAGTTGCCAAAATCCAGCTGGACACAAAGTCTGGATTGAACAGAATCATGGCAGCTACAAAGCTTTTTCGTCTTCTAGTAGGAACATGCAAGCGTGTGAATTACACTCGCAACAAGCAATCATCACAACGAACACAAGGCAGTAAAATCTCCACAAAAGAAGATGACTCGACCAAAGAACATGGACTATCAAATTTCAGTTCCATTGGTTGGATTTTCATGAGCTGCTATAAGCCATGATTATTACCCCTCTTCCCGCACAAGTCATTAGAGCTCCCAACTTCTGCAATACTTTGTGACCATGATGAAGACGACCGGCCGCATTCCGGACAGGACTACTCGACAGGCCAAAACTCACAAATCCAAAACACAGGATATGGAAGCCACGGTTCCAATTAAGACCCAAACACAACTTTAGATGATCATTGAAACTCTTGCAACGCCGCCAGGACGACTCTTGAAAGAACCTAGCTGCCAACTTCTTTTCAACAACATGACTTTGGAAGGATTATTTTTTTTGGGGTGAATCCCTATAAGGATATGAGCACCCAATACACAAGACGATAAAGCCCCATCAAAAGTTGTGATAAAAGTGACAAACCTTTAGCTGAACCGCAATCTTTGATATATTCTTCTCTAATGGCTATCCAAGTGTCCCGACGAAAATCCACGACCATTATGGTGGACATGCTGAGAGAGAGCTGGACGACGGGATAAAGGGCCACCCGAGAGTGCAGAAGTTGGACGGGGCTTGGCACATCCACCGTAGGAAAGCAGAGACAAAGGCTTCACGGAAGACTCGATGACCTTCAATATGACTACCACGCCGTAGTAGTTATGACACGGCTGATTGATTCCGGAAACAAGAAAATGGTACTCGGCTGATTGAGCAATCACCGAGCGGATGATCGACCTAGTCCCAAATATATGACTGATCTAGCTGGACTCCATGAGACTTAGAATCTTGGCAGATTAGTGACGTCGGGACAAAATCGGATGCTCGACCGACGATGGATTGACTGCCAGGGATTCTTGACTCTTAGCTCTTTGACAGGTAACGAGAAACGCCATTGACGAAGAAGCACAGCCGAGCAGTAGGGACATCGGTGGCTTCGGCTGATGATTTGCCGTGAACAAAAACTGGGTGATGACAAGCGAATCGGAACCGGCAATAGCAGTACTGCCGTCACGAGTCACAACAACAACTCTGTTGTGATTGACGACGATGCTAGCGGAGAGTCGGACGAGAATTGAACATTGGTAACTCCGGGAACACGACTTTAATGACCTCGTAGACAAACAGATCTTGATTGATCCAGACGTTTGTAACTCAAAACCCTTGACAATTGATGGCCGACGTATCTTGATTGTGGAACGAGACTGCTGAAGGTTGAACGCAAAACCCTAGATCGAGGTTTGCTCTGATACCATGTAGAATTTGATGATGCGGAATTGAAATAGAACACACGAGACAACGATTTTACGTGGTATCCTCGATCGATTGATTGATCGAGACTAATCCACGGTAAGCTCATAAGAACTCACGGCTGATCTCTTATTAGGATTACATCTTGACGGCTTGCTATCACACAAGTCGATAGCTAAGCTTATATAGATAAACTTAGGGTTAAAACCCTGATCCAACGAATCAGACGAGGCCCAACAAGGCCCAATACTAACACGGTTTAAGTAACCGCAACACAATATATAATTATAATACTATAAATGGTTTCTACTTTCTAGTTATAATATTTTTATTTATTAGACACCGGTTCGTTAACGGGTTTATAACGATTTAATACCGGTTGAACTACTAAAGTACGAGCTGCTTACTGTACCGATTCATACACCGGTTCGATTATGAAAACATTGCCTTTAACAGTCTTCATGTGCCAACTTGGTATCTCCATTTTGTGGATTTTTTTCATAAACCTCTTTTCTCAGATGGTTTCCCTTTCATACTTCAGATCTGTTTATGGATCTTTAAGTCGGTCTTGGTGTGCATAGGAAATTATTTTGCAATTTACGTCCTCCTTCTTGACTTTTAGAGCTTTTTTCATTGCTTCACTCAAAATGGTGTAATGATTCGTTGGATTTGGGTTGGTTACATTTGGTTCTACTGTCATTTGGTTGGGTTCTGGGATGTGGTCATCTTGTGGCTCTGTTTCTATTCCCGGGTGGTGAGGGGTTTGGTGACGTTGGTGACATTGGCAGTGTGGAGGTTCATTTAAGGTTGTTTGGACGGGACTTGTTTTAACATCCGGAACCTTTTTTCGATAAGATATTGTCCGCTTTGGACCTCAGACCCTTATGGATTTAGCTTTGTGGTGCATATCAAGGTTACTTCCCGTAAGATCATCCATTCTTACAATGTTCCACAATGAGCACGTTTAACTTCAAAGTTATTACAAGAACTCTTCCCTTTCATACCAAAACGCATCTTATCAGTTAAGGTCAGTATCTTACTTATGAACCATGAATCTCTCTCGTGCTTTTTTATGTGAATTTTGCCTAAAGTATCACACTCGCTCTTATTGTTCTGTTGGCTCGTTCCTTCCTTGGTTTTTGTTTTACATCTCTTTGTTTTTTGTTGTCGGTAAAGTTTTTATGATTGGCTGGAGCTGTGTTTTGAGGTTGTTTTTTCTCTCGCTTCATTGGTGTATTTTGATTCGCCTGTGGTTGGGGCTGGTAAGTTGTGATTTTTCTTGTCATTGTCAATGGGATGGATGAGTGGGAATGGACGGCGACAGGTTGAAGGTAGGGCTGCAAATGAGTCGAGTCAAGCCGAGTTTTACCCCGACTTGAGCTCGGCTCATTAATAAACGAGTTGAGCTCGAACTCGGTTCATTTATAAACGAGTTGAGCTTGAGCTCGGTTCGTTTATAAACGAGCTGAGTAGAGTCGAATTCGAGCTAACTTGCTTAATAAAATCTTGAATCGTATTTGATATATTCATTTTGTACGTCATGTATACATGTGATTAATTTCAAGATGAAAAAAATAATAGTTAAGTGCTCAATATTAACTAATCTCATGTTATACTTTGTACTATTAAACTATTTTGTTCATAAATTTTTACTAGTGAAAATTATGTTATTTTATAGTATCGAAACAAGTTATGATACATAATTCCTTTTTGAAATTAAATAAGACATATTTACTCACATAATCTACATGTTAAATTTAATATAGGGAGAGATATATAATTTAACAATTCTATGAATTATCAAAATCAAACTCATATAGATTGATTTTCTCATAAGTCGGTAATCGAGTTGCCTCTCTAGCCACAATGTTGAGAGTTGAGACATATCATGAGCTCTAAACAAGTCAGCTCACGAGTTGAGTTTAACAAGTCACTGAGTCGAGCTAGCTCACGAGCTTCGCGAGCTGCAGAGGGCTTAGCTCAAGCTCATCTTGTTAGTAAACGAGTCGAATTTCGAACGAGTTTTTTCCGCACCGAACCACTCAATTAACAGCCCTAGTTGAAGATGGCAACAACATGCAACAAGGGTATGCGGTGACTATTGCTTTTTGTGGGCTAGGTTGATGTTGGGCCAAATATTTGTTATGGTGGATGTAACCAATTGGACTTATATTATGGTGTTTGTCTGAGTCTGAGATTGGTTCAAATTCTCTACCACTTTACTATTCCGTAATGAAATTATGTTTTGTCAAAATAAAATCAAATCTTTAATCCAAACTAACCAAAATTCTTTTTGGTGAGGTGGATTGTAGTTTTCAATAATTTGTGACTTCTGAAATGCTCAATGATTTGAAAATTTTAGATAGAAAAAAAATGTGAGAAAAATATATTTGATTTCTCCAAATTTTCGTTCAATAAAAACTTTATTGAGAAACGAACACCATGTACATCCCCGATTTCTTTGGCAAGAGCAAGAAGTGGATATTTGGAGTTTACCGACAATAAACGCCACCGCACAGAAATAATTCTCCTTCGTTCCCCACCTCACCTATACACATAATAAATTTTCTCTCCAAGTTTTAAATCGTAAAAAATGGTTTTTGCCTTTTTGGCTCTCTACCGAGAGAGAGAGTGAGAGTAGAGGCGGACAGAGGCGAGCAGGTGGAGAGAGAAAGCAAGCACAAAAACAAATCAAAGCAGAAGCAAAGCGGGTGCAAGCAAGCAATGCAGCTTTAGATCTCGCTTCCAGTTCTTTACCCTCCTGGTTTCCTTCGTTTTCAAGCTTTGCTTTCCCCTTCATGGTTGGTACTCTTGTACTCTCTCTTTCTCTCGGCTGCTTTCTCCTTTTGTTTTATTTAAGTTACTCCCCCACTCTGCTCTCCTTTCCCCCTACAACCTCCCGCACTTTCCCCTCCCCAGTTGCTATCTTGGGAAAGCTCTCTAATGGCGGCCGCTCCGGCGGTGTTTTTGATGCAGGACTGGCAGATTTGAGTGATTCAGAGGCCACATTTGCTCGGTAAGTCACAGATCTGGGCTGGGTGTACCTTTCGCCTTCGGGGAATTGCTTATTTTGGATCCGATCTTTTACTTGAAAAGCTTCTCGTAATAGTGTTCTATGGCCATCTCTGGGCTTCATTTGAACTGGATTCTCTATTTCATTCGGCAGACAGGTGTAGTGTAGAGTGTAGACTGTGTGGTGAGGCGAAATCTGTGGAGTACGAATTAGTTTCAAGGAGATTTGAGAATGCCGATTTTCTTATTGTAATTTTCCTGGATTTGTCGTTGTGAGCAGAGATTCCGTTTTCCTTATTAAAGTTAGCAACGGTGGGCGGTGGTATGGGGAGCAATTATGTCGTTTTCCTTAAGGCCCGAACAAATATTTTGCAGAAACATAAAAAGAAACAATGGCGGACGGATTTGGTTCTGGCATTGTCACATGCTGTTGTCGGGTAGTTAGGATTGAGCAGTATCACTTGTCTTACTTTCTATGGGTTTATTTGTGGTGCCGAGCTGTTGAAAACTGGAGACGAATTCATTGCAGGGTGTTCTTGAGCTCACACTTGCGATTGCATTTTACTTATTGTTGAGCGAGATATGGGGAAGTCAGTGAAGTCGCCTGCGAGGTGGATCAAAGCTGTACTGTTTGGGAAGAAGTCGGCCTCGAAATCAAGTGGCGGTAAAGGAAGGGAGGTGAGTTGTATGTTTGAAAGTTAGCATTGCTGAACTTCGCATGTGACTGTTAGTTTCATGTGGTTGTCTTGGTGCAAGTTTAATTTTTCACCCTTTTGAGGGATCATCAATGCAATAGTAATTTTGATGTCTTATATATGTACTCATGCACAGACGATCTACTGTTTTGCTTCACCTTTACAATGAACAGTATCTGTGCGTTTGCTGTTACAGTAGAGGCTTTTTATTAGGGACTGTACCTTACTTCTTGCAATGAGAAGCTAATGATGCTTGGAATGTTGATGTCGGTTGGCTGCTAATAAGTTTCAGCTTTGGAAAGTGCCATGATTTAAGATTGGGATACTTTTATGGTAAAGCTAGGATTGTTGAATTTGGCACAATTATTCCAACTTGTTATGGCTGTAACCTTTCTCTCTCTTTATTGAAGCCATTCATTCTTGCCATAACTGTTAGAATGTGCTGTCCCCTGTATATTAAAAATTGCTCTTTTGTTTCTGTATTGTTCCGATGCAGCGTAATTTGTTGATTGGCATTGATCTTTCAACTTAGATGTTGGGAAGTGGATACTGCTATTAATTTTTCTTTTCTTCTGGTGTGGGTTATGTAGAGAGGTTCAAATGAGAAAGAGATCCTGGCTTCTGCTAAGGAATCAGATGCTGACATCACGCTAATTTCTTCTGTGGTGTCCCAAACAAACCCCAACTTTCTGGACGAAGTTGAAAGGAGGGAGGAACCAGAGAACAAGGAAAATGTAAACCCACCACATGAAGGTGGAGTGATGTTATCTGGAAATCAGGATAGTAATTTACAAGGCTCTGAAATTGAAGAAGTGACATGTGACCCGGAAAAGATTAAAGAAGAGAAAGCTGCGACTGTGGCACAAGCTGCTTTTAGGGGTTACCTGGTAATTCACCTCCTCGTCATTTCAAAAGAGTTGTGGTGGTTGTTGAAAGAAATGGCATTTCTTTGTTAAAAGTCATCTCAGTTGATAAGCTAGCCACCTTGTGTAGTCCATCGTTTACTGTTTATTACTCAGCTCAAACAATCTCTGTTAACTGTATTGGTAGTCAAGCATGTACTGATGCTTACTCTCCTCTGTGAAGGCACGCCGAGCGTTCCGGGCCCTCAAAGGCATAATAAGACTACAGGCACTCATCCGTGGGCACTTGGTCAGGAGACAAGCTGTTGCTACTTTGTGCTCTATGCTGGGAATTGTCAAGTTGCAGGCAGTTGCTCGAGGGAGGATTGTCAGGAACTCTGATATTGGGCAAGAGATACACAGGATTTACATTTTTGTGAAGGCTCGGGTAATTTCTTTGAATAACTTTCAATATGGTTAATTGGCTTCTCTAGTACCAAGTTCTGTTGAGTTTCATACCCGTTATAAACTTTATGCTTTTGCAAGGAGCTCTTCCATCATTGACTATTTTTATTGTAAAATATGTTGCAATGGTTACTTGCTTATAGTGGTTCTTTGAGTGGGGTAGTTTTGTATATGAACTTTGAAAATAGAACAGTGGAAGTAGGTAAGGTCGTGTATGATTCAGTATTTACTTCAATTCTCAACTAAAAGTAAATGGCATTGCCAGGGGTCTTTAGATCTTGAACTAGCACATTGGTTAGTATACATAGAAATTTAAGGTGTGAAACAGAGGGATTCATTTCTATGTTAGTTGTTCTCACCTTCCACTGGAGATATGCAGCAGTGATAGATCACCCGAACAAGCTTACTGATAAATAAGAAAGCTCATGTCCTGCATTTTAGACATCACTAATTAAATCACGGGAGAAGTACATCTGAACCTCTCCATCTCTGTTCCATTGGACGATTGCATGGCATCTCGACTGCTGCAGTATCTAATTTCTTATCTACATGCCCTCAATTTTGACATGAGATTCTGTTAATCAGGATGGAAAAGCTGTTGATGCTGCTGGTGTTCATGTTTCTGTCCTTGTAGCAAAGCGGTCAACAAATGCTTTTGTTCGTAAGGTATGAACAACTCAGTGAATACTGTTTTGTATAATTATCCTTTCTAGAGTCGTGGCCTAAATTAAATCAGTAGTGGTCTGTGCATGTTGCTTATTCGCTTCATCTATTTCTTGCATGTGTTAATTTTTTTTTATAGCATTTGGCTGTGCTTTCATCCCTAAAATTGTCTCTTTTATGTGACTGTTTTCCCAGCTTGTATTGTCATCACCAACAGTGATGCCGTTACGCCTATCTTATGAACCTGCTCAACCGAATTCTGTCCCGAACTGGTTGGAACGCTGGTCAGCATCTCAGTGTTGGAAATCACTACCACAGCTGCCGAAGAAAACCCATCCTTCAAAACCCCAGCAACGAAAGCAGGGTCATAGCCAAGCTGTGGAAACCGAAACTGCTAGACCAAAGCGCAGTGTTAGGAGGGTTCCTGCTGCTAATACTGACAACAATACTGTTCAGGGGCAAGCAGCATCGGAAACTGAGAAGCCCAAGCGTAGCTTCAGGAAGATCACCAGCGGCCATCCAGTAGTCGATGCAGTTCAGGAAAACCCACAAAGTGAGCTTGAAAAGGTGAAAAGAAACTTGAGGAAGGTGCATAACCCAGTAGTAGAGAGCAATATTCAACCTGAGGTTGACGTTGAGAAGCCCAAGCAAAGCTTAGAGAAAGCTTCAAGCACTCCCAGCGAGAAGCCAAAGCCTAGTGCAGAAAAGGTGTCAAATACTCCAAGAGAGAAGCCGAAGCCAATTGCAGAAAAGGCGTCAAGTGCTCCTAGCGAGAAGCCAAAGCAAAGTTTAGAGAAGGTATCGAGTGCGCCAGGAATGCCAACTGAGGCTGTGTCCAGTCAGGCACTGAACAGTTCAGCTGAGAAGCCCAAGAAAGTGACACCATCCAAAGAAGCTGATGCGATCGAATTTGAACCGACATTAACTCTATCTCCATTAAAAAAGACTCCTGAGCCACTGGAAAAGGAAGAAATGTTTGAAGTTCTGCAGACCGATCAGCCTTCAATCGAATCGCTGCCAGTTGGAACTGAAAGTAATGGTAAAGTAGAGACTACTGCTTTTACCAATGGGGATGCATGCAAGGAGGATCCTGCAAGCAATGAGAACCACAAGTCTGGTGTCAAGAAAGCTACTACTACTACCCAAGGGAAGCAGGAACATGGTGAAGAGAATGGGATGCAGAATACTAGTAGTCCATCAATTCCGAGTTACATGGCTGCAACTGCTTCTGCTAAGGCCAAGCTGAGAGCACAGGGCTCCCCAAGACTCAGCAGCAGCCAACAAGATAGTGGTGAGAAAAGCAATTCCACACGGCGCCACTCTTTGCCCTCCTCAACTAATGCCAAGATCAGCTCCCAGTCACCGAGAACCCAACGACCTGTCAATGGCAGCGGAGGCAAGGCAGGAAGCAAAGTGGATAAAACTGTGTTGTCTTCAAGAGATGGAAATGGTATGAACTACTAACCTCTGTTATCAATTGTGTAGTGAAACTTTATCCGTTTCATAGAAACTGACCATTGTTTTCATTTGTCTTGTTTCAGTGAAAGGAAACCAAGCAGAGTGGAGGAGGTGAGTTATCAACGAATCTCCAGAGTTCCCAATTAAATTTTAAGGATTGCTAGCGGAAATTTCTCGGAGTTCAAGTTCTGCAGTAGTTTTTGTTTGCGTCGACAGAGTGTCAGACCATATGAATATGCATAATTTGGGGTCTTATATTTGTTAAGCTGGGAAGGGTTTGTTGGCTGGCTGTGTAAGTTACTACTGTCTGGCCCCTTAGTCTATTTTAATCTCTCAAGTCTCAACTTGTTTTCATGTTGCGTTTATTTTCTGAGAGTGTCTGGACATCATAGGCGATGAGAAGTTGTCTCATCCTTCTCTGAAACTGTTTCTGTTTTGTGTCTGTCTCTCCCTACCCCTCTCTCCGTCTGTTCGACTCGAGTGGCTGTCTATATTGTAATCTGGATTCCCTCTTCTGCTCGTCTTTCGTAATCCGACATCTCGTCTGGTTGATTGTGTTCATTTGGGTGGGGGTGAAATTTGCGTTAGCAAGTAATGAGTTTTACGTGGACCTTTTTCTGATCAGAATTGATGACTTCTTGAATAACTAAAAAGAAAAAATAGCATTGAATGGTTTTTTGATTTTGAAGTAATCTACTCGCAACAACTATGGATGATGTAAAGCAAGCTGCGTCGAGAACAAATCAGACCGGTTAATTTAACCTACCAGCATGATCAGATTGATACATTGGTTAGCTAGCTAGTTTGTTGTGTGATCTGATTAGCATCAATTACCATCCCATAAACCGGTTGACTCTTACCAAAGAAGCATCTTTTTGTCACCGGTGCCACCCCTGCCTGAACAGTCGGTTGCACATTGGGAGGGATGGGCATTTCTTCGGAGTGACCCGAAATGCAGAGTGAACCACCATCATCCGCCTCCCAGTAAACTTCAACCATGACGCCTCTGGGATTTTCACTAGACTCCGTCGCTGGGATCCCCACGAACCGGGCTCCCACCGGTATCTGAATCGAAGCTCCGGAGTTCAGGTTCAAGGTTAGAAACCGCCCCTCTGCAGTGGCGGTTTCCAGCTCAGCTTCCCTGGCAATTCTCAGGAATACTTCTTGCAGGGTCGACAGGCCGAGCTGAATGTCTCCAATTCCGAACGCAGCTCTTCTCTCCTCCAGCTCGGCGAACAGGTTCTGATGACAAGGGACTCTTTTAAGTACTAGATAAAGATGACAGATTCGAAGGGTTGTTCAAAAAGACATGAATTTGCAGAAATGCTCAACTGTTAGAAGCGTCTCTCTGTCACGAGGAATGACAAAGGTCATGAAGGATTTGGTCGCCTCTGTTGGCGCCAGCGCCAAATGCTGTTACATCACAGTAGCAAAATCAGAACCAGGGAAAACCCCAGAAAGTGAATAAAAAGCTCGGGTTAGTACTTGATACTTACATGTCTAAAGAACTGCTTCACGGCCTCCTGGTGAATTGCATTGCCGTTTTCTTCTACTTCATCTTGGCGGTGGTCAGCATTTTCGACGAAACTGAGGTTAGCAATGAAACCAGCGCCGAACTTCGATTTCAGCCTGATGGAGGTTCCGATGCAACGGAGTCTACCTTTAGCCATGATCCCAATACGGTCACTGAGAACATCTGCTTCTTCCATTGAATGTGTCGTCAAAATAATCGCGCTGCGTTGCTTAGCTTCCAGTATCGTGTCCCATACGTGCCTTCTCGATATAGGGTCCATGCCGGTAGTCTGCAGATTTGTTTGAAATGGATTTAGTTGAGAAAATTGGACTTCTTTCTGTTGGCGGTGAAAGTTGAAAAAATGAAGAAGCTTACTGGTTCGTCCAGAATGATAAGCTTTGGGTCGCCGATGAGGGCTATTGCAACGCTGAGCCGCCGCTTCATTCCTCCGCTGTAACTCCTGGATCTTAGCTTGGCTGCGTCGGTAAGTCTGACTTTGTCTAACTGTTCCTTAGCTACCTCTTTAATCTTTGGTGGGGGAATCCCCTTAATGCTGGCAAAGAGGTGAAGGTGTTCCTCGCCAGATAAGGCATCCCACAGGATATCAAACTGCAGTAAGAAAGGCAAAGTTAGAACCAGATGATTTCCAGAATACAGAGAGAGAGAGAGAGAGAGAGAGAGAGAGAGAGAGAGAGAGAGAGAGAGAGAGATGGTGAGACTTGACCTGAGGACACACACCCATAAGCTTTCGGATGCTGGACATTCCGCCACTACTTTTGATGGAGTGCCCATATATCAATGCTGTCCAGGGAAACGATAGTCAATTTAGTATATGCATATTCATTCTGAAGCTGGCTTACCAATTTGGATTCATTTAAGAGTTGTTTGCATGTTGGAGTCAAAAAGGAAGAAAGTGTTACAGTTCAACACTTTCCAAATGGCTACACACGACCACTTAACAGTAGAGCATTTTACCATCTCCACTGGTTGCTGGTGCAATCCCAGTCAAGCAATTGATCGCTGTGGTTTTCCCTGCACCATTGGGTCCAAGCAGACAAAACAACTGGTCCTTTGCAATATTCATCGACAGGCCCTGCAATGATAAAAAGGAAGTTAGCTAGCTCAAAGTTTTCTTAGAGGTAGTTCCAAAGCTGAAAGCAAGCTGTAGAATACCCTGATAGCATGGTAAGGCAAAGTCTTCTTGCAACTGCAACAGCTGCAGCAACCACCTGCAGCTTTTCTAGTCCCAGCATAAGTCTTCACAAGTCCACGTATTTGAACTGCAACCGTTTGGTCAACTGTCCCTTCAAGCAAATCTCTCTTCACCGTGTTTTCTTCTTCGAGCACGTCTTCATCATCTAGAGTAACATTTTCTTGTCTAGGAACCGAGCCCATACAACTGCAAACCCCTCCTGGGAAAATGGCAGTCTGCTTATTATGACGAAAAAGAGAACGTTCTCTGGTGGGTAGTAATAACATAGAAAGTAAATGCATACTTACCTTCCACCTGGTTCCCACCCTTCCCTATCCAGTATGAAGGAGTTAGGAAGTAAAGTATCGATTTCCTGACGCCGTATGCATTGGGAATTATGTTATCAAGGTAGATGGCCAGAGCAAACCAGAGAAAGGTTGTTGCCAGCAGCCATATGTAGACATCATTCTGTTGAGAGTAAAAACTAACAAAATGAAGCTAAGAATAGGATTCTATCTAGAACAGAACTGAAAATAGGGTGGCACAGGATCTCTTACAAGTGTCATTTCACAATTAGGAATGCCTGAGAGGCACTTTCCTCGGCTGCTCCAGCTAATACCAGCACCTGAGGGATCCTCAGTAGCATCACTAAGCCGCATCAGTGCTATAGCAAGAAGGTTCGGTGGGAACAATGACCAGATCGTCTTCACAGTGATGGAAATGTTTGAGGCGTATGGGAAAACATCCGAGGTCATAACCTGAAAGTAAGTAAGCAGAGAGCTCTTTCGTCAACAACCCGCAAAATAGATAGAGCTTCTTTCTCTGAGAGTTCCGTGGCTTGCTTGCCTGTGTTATGAATCCAATGATGAATACAGAGAATCCTACAGTTGTGGCTGAAGATGCCTTGCTGATGAAGTTTGACAGCATGAAAGCATAACCCACCTGTATGATCCCTAACAGTTAAACAAAGCACAAACCAGAACATGAAAAATAGTAGTAATGATGGGAATAAGAATTTGATTACCATATTGATTTGGAAGAGGAAGAAGACGAGGTAAACAACCGCAAAGCTGTTTTTCCAGAAGAAATCAAACTTGAACATGAGCCCGAAGAGAACCAAGAGAAGTGAAGAAATCGAAGCGAAGATTCCTTCCCAAACGATCCAGGAAAGCCAGTAAGCGGAATCGTAAAGCCCCATCGTGCTCATTGCCTGTTTCGAGAAATCAAGCAAAAAAGAGGGGGGGAAAAACGAATTATTGAAACCAAACAGTAGACTGAGAAAGCAGAATAGCCAGTGTCAAAGACCTGACGAAGCTTGAGCTCCTTCTCCGTAACCAAAGCGCTTATCTGCAGAACAAATCCAAACATGGTAAACGCTAGAAAAAATGCCGGCGCAGAGGTAGTAGAAGACGTCCCCGGCTGACGAACTTGAGCAGCTGGATGCGCGAATTCCTTCATTCCGACGGTCCATTTAAAGTTAGGGTCTGAAGGGGAAAAAAAAATTGCAGTGTAGTGAATCAATCATCGAAAGAAGTATCAGAAACCCTAAAAATTTCGAAGAAATCAAATTACCTCCGACAATCGACCGAGCGATTTCGCGCTCGGCGGAAGCCTGAAGCGCAATCAGTAACTCGGATGCTGTATTCTTACTCCAGCGGCTGCCGAGCATCCTATTGGGATCGGAAGAATTCGCCTGGAGGCCGTAGGTTATCACCGTCGCGTTCACTTCTCTGAGATGGAGAGCCGCGGCGCAGTGAATTTGGTTAGCGAAAAGCCACGAATCCACCTCCTTCTTCGTCCTGAACGATTTCACCCTGGCGGCGGAGATGCGGCGGCCGGGATTGTTCGCCATGATGCCCCGCGCTATCCGATTGAGCCTCGCGCTCTCGTTTCCACTCCATACGAAGTCGAGGCAGGGTTTTCTGAGGAAGAAGCGCCGTTCGTCGCAGGGAGGAATCGGAGGCGGCGGCGCCGCCGTGGGGTGCTGGACGTCAGGGGTGTTTGCGGCGACGGAGGAATTGGTGGTTGCCTTGTCGGAGCAGAAGAGGAGGAGAGTGAAGATGAAAGCGGCGAGGAGCTGGATCAGTGTGGCCCGCGGGTTTCGCCATGAGAGCAGGAGGTTCTTCTTCAGTAGCGCGGTGAATTGCTGGAGAAGCAGGGGAATGCCCCGCCGCAGTTCCATCGCCGCAGCGGAGATGGCTGCTTCGGTTGTTTTTTTTCGGATAGTGATTCTCCCGTTTACGGATTTGGAGCGGGGAGGTTGGCTACGAAATCGGGATGGAGAAATGATCAGCTTTCAGGCTTTGATCAGCAGTATTTCATACTTCTCGCGAAAAGTGGTTAGTTAAGAAAGCGGGATTTTCGGGGATGTTTACGCGGGAAGAGATGGCGATGAAAATGTACGAAGTAAAAGCGGAATTAGGGGGGTGTTCTAATTATTAATTTATTGCTAATTATTACAGCAAATCAGCCCTGATGCATATCCACATCAAAATTCAAGTTTCTACACATTAATCCGCACAAGTATTTTTTTTTATATAAATTAACCAACACAAATATATATGCAGAATTGAAGAATATAATGAGTGACTTTTAGAAGTGTTTTTGTGTTTCGAAATTGAGCCGGAACTTGTTAAGTCCATCATTTGAATTTTTTTTTTACAACATAAAGACATAAGTTTGGATTTGAATTTTCTGCGAAAAACTATTTTAAAGATATAAGATTATCCATATATATATATATTTTATTTTTTCATATAAAACATACTGTTTATTCATTTATATCATTCAGAAACTAAAATAATATGATTTAATATAAAGAAATATAGAAAGATCCTTTTTTCTATTTTCATTTATATTTTATGTTAATTTTTTTTTTTGTCATTTTACATATTAGTCTCCCATGCTTTCTCGTTCAATATCTCTTAAAGCCTTATTTTCTTAACTACACGTCAAACTATTTAGCAGCAATTGAATAGTACATTTTTTTAATGAAATATCTCATCGAGGACCTTGGCACATTTTAGACTTTTGATCTCAAACGAGTATGGTCAGCGGCGGATCCATGACATAGTAGTGTACTGGGCCGCATTTCATTAAAAAATTAAATACTGTAAAAAAATTATAGTTATTTTTATAATATCAATTGTATATGTCGATCTTTTATAATATAGCGAAGTCATCAATAATGTAGTGTACATCCATACCAATAACATACTAATCTCCCTCAAATAAAATAGTTTACCAATCAGCGAGAAATTCACCGCTCATTTTGTTACGCAAATCATATTTCACCTGTTCCATTGTTGAAAAGGTTTTCTCCATAATAGCTGTTGAAACGGGCAATGTCAATACTAGACAAATCAATCGACTAATCAATTTGTATTGTGTGTTCATCCATATTTCCACCAGCTGCTCTAGTAATTTTTCAAGAGAGCAAACCTCAGTTCTTTTAGTCCTTTACGTTTTAGACTCTTAGAATTTTAGGTTACATTGTTTGTTTTTCTTTAGAAGAGAATCATTGCAGCTAGAATTACTAGGCTAAATTTAGAGTTGTGATTTGATTATGTTCATCTAACCCATTTTCTCAATTACACACAATCTTATTATAAAATAACACTTGTCCGAATGGCTAGAATTGATAAATTCGTAAGTACTATACTAGCTCCGGATCTAGAACAGGGCTGGGCCGTGCCCAGGGTGGCCACCCCTGGATCCGCCAGTGAGTATGGTTTAACACCAGCTATGTATTACATAATAATTTCTATTATGAAAATTGCTCAGAAATACTCTAACTGTTTTTAATGCGTAATTCACATTTGTGCGAAAATTCCATAAAACTTCGGGCAAAACTACACACAAAACATGTTTGGTCTCTTATCCCTAATCTCATTTTTTTTGCATGCACGCAAGGTGATAAAGAAGGCTAGAAGCAACCTTTCGCTCTCTTTCAACTCTTGCATGCACAACAAAACTCACTCACTATCCACTAGTTTTTACCTCATGCATGGTGCACTATAACATGCAAAAAATACTATTACATACACTAATAAATAAAATTGGACAAAAACCGGTAGGTTTTAGTTAGGTGGAATGAAAGACCGGTTAGGACCGTTTGGTGTAGTAGTTTAATTGGAACTCCAAAAACCCTAGATAGGTACATAATTAATAGGGGAGATGCCTTCGTTTCATATGTCTAATCCAACAATAGATACAGATAAGATTTAGGATTGGCTATAAAATTAGACAAAACAAAGATATCGTATGAAAATGTTTAAATGCCATATTAGGCAACCGAAAAAAATAGCAACTCCCAAAATCAGAGGAAAAAAATGCAATGTTGTCAGTATCGAACGGTAGCATGACCCGGTAATGCGAACGGCTCGCACTTTAGTGATCCAACCGGCATTAGACCGTTTGAAAAACTGTTAGAAAACCGGTAACTAATACACGTTATCAGTATAAAATAGTGGACATTTCTTAATTAGAGCTCGTCTCTTTCCTTCGAAATTGTGAAATGGAAATAAGGATTCAGTTTGAGAGCCCGACGTTTTTGGTTTATTTCAATTTTCTTCAATTTTTTAATTAAATTTAACGGTTGAATGGCAAAAACCGGACGAGTGGCTCGATCGGCTCGAATGATTAACCGCCTCGACCGCTCGGCAACCGCTACATAAAACCGGAGTGAATTTTAGACTATTCCGAGCCGATTTTGTGACCGGATGGGGTTTTACCGGTCGGGCCGAACGACTCGGCTCGACTTTAATAACACTGGAAAAATGTCATGCAACTCCCAAATCCTCATCTATGTCACTAAAATCTCCAGCTATGTGAAGCATAGAATTTGCATTTATTCCACCAAATTTATAGGTAAAAATTTACAGGGAATTTAAGGTAGAAATGAAGGGTAAAATACACTTTTTTCCTACTCCATTAAGCTTTAATTTCTATAATTCCAACCCCAATTTGGCATACTTAAACTAAAAAATTATGCACCAAATTTCACTACCAAATCTTCCTGTCATTATGGAGTGGGAAATCTTCCAAACCTTCATCCTTTAAGGGAATCTCTAAGGTAAGAAACCTCTTAGGGGTTGTTTGGATAAGAGATTGTGGCAGGATTTTAATACAATATCCCTCAATATCCATGATTTAAAAGAATAACTTGTTTGGAAAGAAAGACACAGAAATTTTAAATTAGAAATTTTTAAATCTCTCAATCATGAGTTTTTAAAATAGTTGATGCCTATCAACTATTTTGAAATCTCTCGTTTTTATTTTTAATTTCCAATTGTTACCCTTCCTTTGCTGGTAAATTGCGAATTTGGTCACTGTGTTTACTAAAAAAATTCACGTTTGGTCACTGAAAATATTTAATTCCATTCGTGATCACTAAGATTAGTTCAATGGTTCAAGTTTGGTCACTCTTCGTTAGTCTCCGTTAAATTTAGCTTATGTGGCAGTCAACTCTCGTAGTTGACCGTTAAGTATGTAACGTGACAGTTAAAAATAATATAAAATTAGTTTTTATGTTCCACCTCAGCACAAATATTAAAAATAAAAAATATACTTCTTTTAATTTTCCTCCACCAGTAGTCCAGTACAAATATACTTCTCCTTTTCAGCCACTGCTCGGAACAGAGGCCCGACACGAAGTGGAGCGTCACCCGGCACGCCAGGTCCACAGCCCAGACGTCTTGAGCATCGCCGTCGTGGGATTCGAGGGTGAAACTGCTCGGAAGCGAGGCCCGACATGAAGTGAAGTGCCGCCCAGCCCGCCATGTCCACAACCCAGACGTCTCGGGCTTCGCCGCCGTCAGATTCGAGGATGGATTGGAGGGCCGACGGTGGTGGCATATTCGTACTCAGCGGCAACGTTCTTGGATTCGAGAATCGATAATGGCGGCGGTCAGATTCGTAATCGGCGGCAAAGTTCTGAACGATCTAGTCGGAGAGGACCCAGGAGGGTTTGTGACCGTCTTTCCATTGGATTAAATACCCCATCCCGGCGCCGCCTTCGAGGCCTCTGCTTCCGATGATCTTGTCGACTTCGCCGTAGTCGTCCTTGCCTTGGATTGGTTGTTGGGTTCTCTAGTGGGTTTTAGGAAGTTTGGATGGGGACGCTATATGAGCAGTCGCCGATGAGAACTCACAGTCTTGTAGCGTTCGATTCAATTGAAGGGAGTTGATAGAGCTCCGGATTAAGCTCTATCGAGAGATTGGGGATTAGGGATCAACTAGGGATTGATCCGGGAGTTTGGGAATTGGGGAAGAGGTGAATTGGTGGATTGGAAATAGAAGAGAGGAGGGAGGAAGGGTGCTGCCGAGCAGCAGCTTAGAGGGAGGAAGAAGAAGGCTCGGCGGCCTAGAGAGGAAAGAGGGAGGGAGAGAGCAATTAAGATTTAGGTTTAATTTTCTGCTTACTTCTTCCTAAGTAAACAATAGTCTAAATACCCAAAACATAATTACCTACTAACTACCCCAACTTATTAATCCCCAAAATATTCTCAATAACCGAAATAAACCCGAACTAAATAATTCAAACCGACATAAACCCAAATAATTAAAACGTCTATCAGGAGTGAAGGCAAATGTGATCTGGGTTTTTTTTGGGTTATTCGTCAGAGTCTTTGGAGAATCCGTCGTCGATCCCTCTCTCCACGAGTTCAGATGTGGCAGCAGAGATTACGACGATTGCGACTTCTCTGCAAATAGACAAACTCCGATTGATTCACGCTGATCCGATGAAGCTAATTGAGGTGCAAGCCTACAAGGCGTGGGCGGCTATTGAGATGGAGCACGAGCAGGAGGTCCGAGAGGTGGAGAGCGAGATGGAAGTGTCGGAGCACCGACGCCACACCAATCTCTGGCGGTCAGAATCTCGTCTGTTGAAGACAAGAGGAGAAGCGGAAGGTTCGCCGGCGACGGGGAAGATGCAGTTGCTTCAATCGATGATGATGACTCGTGAAAAAAAAGGGCCAGCTACTTACCGAAAGAGAAGCAGGGAACAAGGAGCTTTTGGCTTTTGTTTTTATTTTTATTACTTTTTAAATGTGAAAAAATAGGTGTACAATTAAATAGATTAAATTTTTTTATTTTTCAATAGCCACGTCACTTATTTAACGGTCAACTATGAAGGTTGACTGCCACATCAACAAAAGTTAACGGAGTTGGACGGTTAGTGACCAAATTTGAACCATTAAAATAATCTTAGTGACCACGAACAGAATTAAATATTTTTAGTGACTAAACACAAACGTTTTTAGTAATTTCAGTTTGATTTTAGTAATTTCAGTGATCAAAGTTGCAATTTACCCCTTCCTTTGCAGTTGGCCATCGACCACATTGAACACGGATTCAACTTCGTCCGCCGCCGTCAGCTCTCATCTTCCAATTGTCGCCGTCCGCACTGTGAGTATGGGTCGATTTTCGTCTGCCACCGTCAGCTCCTCATCTTCCAATCGTCGCCGTCCGCGCTGTGAGTCTGGGTCGATTTTAGTCGCCGGGTTTTGAGCAGTGCAGGCAGGAATAGATCTCAATAGCACCATTCGCTCTGTCCCAGTGCACAGATCGTATGGATATTATCGAGGTCTCCGGCTCTAGCAAGGGAGATGCCGCTGTTTTTTGCGTCGTTTTCAGTCAACAACGACGAGAGAGAACCCTAGGTAGACCCTCGACTTCCAGTCAACGACGGCGAGGGAGGTTGAATCGATCAATTCGCGATGAAGCTGGTCAAATCGAGAAGATGCCGGTTACAGGCATGGACACCGATCCGAGGACGCCGGACAATTTCGTTTTCTTCATCGGGGACGCCGGTTACAGAAGGGGTCGAAGAAGGATGGAGGAGGAAGAAGGTGAGGGTAATTTGGTTGGGGTCTTAATTCCTCATGTTTAAACAAACAAGTAAATTGGGCTAAATAACTCATTTATAATTCCTGGGTTTTTTAATTAGGGATTTGGGCCCAAATTTCTTTCAAATCGCTCCAATTAAAATTTTGCATCCAAACCACCCCTCAATTTCCTTCGTATTTCTTGAGAAAACTCTCGAGAGGAAAAAGATAATAATCACTTACCAAAAGCTACTCAAAGTTCTTTCTCGTGTTGACGGACTTGGGTTACCTCGCTTTTTGGAGAATACAAACTTCTCAAAATACATTATGTAAATGTGATAATTCTCAATTTATCATCAACTCGTCAAAGAGAAGTTGCCTAAAGTTCAAGAAAGAAAATTTATATTTTATACCAATAACACAAAGAACAAAGAACTCAAAGTGCCTTACATTCTTCTTTCTCTAACGAGGGCCGCCCTAGACCATCGACTTGTATACCTTACACCTATTTTCTATTCTGTGGGGGGATAATAATGAATTAATGAAAAAAGCCCTAAACATCACTCTACAACACGAACACATGACCGGAGGATATGAACAAAACTAGAAGCTACACCAGCGTAGCATCATCGAGTATCAGCTGCACGAATCTGATTTGGATCAAGAATAAGCCCATAAACAGGCCCAGTCCGGCCCAAGAAGTTAGTCCCCCCTGGAGCTGGCACTGCAGCGGGCACCGACGGCTGTACATCAGCAGGAATAGGCATTTCAGGTGAATGTCCTGATACACAAAGTGTCCCTGTGTCATCTTGCTCCCAGTACACTTCAACCATGACGCCCCTCGGGTTTTCGGTGGATTCCGTGCCTGGAATTCCGACGAAACTGCTCCCGACCGGTATCTGCAGCAATCACAGGAGGTTAAGTTCACTGTTTTTAGTTTTTACATGGCCTGATACAGTGTGAGTTGCTACCGTACACATACCTGAAGGGAGGTCCCAGAGGTTAGGTTCAGAGTGATGAAGCGCCCCTCTGCTGTGGCGCTTTCTACCTCGGCCTGCCTTGCAATGTTCAAGAATACTTCTTCTAACGTTGCGAGACCGAGCTGAATGTCCTTTATGCCGAATTCTGCCTGTCTGTCTTCAAGCTCTGAAAAGAAGTTCTGAAAGAAGGGTTTGAAGTGTTAGGGAGGGAAGCAATGATACCAATAGAACAACATGTGTAGGAGTTTCCTGAAAGGCTTACTGTCAGGAGTTTCTCTTTATCATGAGGGATGACGAAAGTCATAAACGACTTGGCTTCCTCTGCTGGTGTCACATCCAAATGCTGTTGCAGGTCAAAAAAGGAGTTAAAGATGGGCAAAATGAGTAGGGTGATGTTAAACAAGTTGGAGCAAGTGGGTTTGATTCGTCAGCATACATGTTTGAAGAACTGCTTGACGTCTTCATGCGTAGCTGGACTATCTACGGTTTGGTTTACAGGACTTTGGCCATTAACCTTTTCACCAAAGCTGACGTTAGTGACAAAACCGGTCCCGAATCTCGATTTCAGCCGGATGGAAGTTCCAATGCATCTAAGCCTGCCTTTCGCCATGATTGAGATTCGATCACCCAGGACATCAGCTTCTTCCATTGAATGTGTTGTCAAAATTATTGCACGCCCTTTTTTGGCTTCCTGTATTACATCCCAGACCTGCCTTCTGGATATAGGATCCATGCCTGTAGTCTTTCGATAAGAAAATGGAAAACAAATGATTAAGAAATGTACTAGATATTAGGTAACATCAACATATAGTATGAAACAGTTCGCTATGCATACTGGTTCATCCAAAATGACTAGCTTTGGGTCACCAATGAGGGCTATTGCCACGCTGAGTCGACGCTTCATTCCTCCACTGTAGCTCCTGGCTCTCACCTTAGCTGCATCAGTAAGTTTCACTTTCGCCAGCAATTCATCTGCAACCTGCAGTTAACACAAAGGTTTTTACAAAGAAGTTACAGAACCATGGGGCGTCTAACACATGGGCAATGATAGTGAAAACAAACAATCCTGAAAAAATAAAAGGAATTTAAGCTAGAAAGACAACTCTCATGCTTCCCCAGAACTTACTGTTTGAATTGAAGCTGGGGGTAGGCCCTTAATGGTAGCAAAGAGGTGAAGGTGCTCCTGACCAGATAATGCATCCCAAAGAATATCAAACTGCATGCAGAGTAAAAAGTTAGGCTTCGAAGTATATGCTTAGCTGTCCTTGAACTGCACATCAATAAACGACTAATCAAAGAAAGAGTACAAGAATGCTTAAATGCAAACATATACATCTTCCCCACTGCAAATCCAGACATGCAGATGATGCGCAAACAGTGAGAAAGGAAGTTCACCTGTGGACAAACTCCCATGAATTTGTGAATGCTTGACATGCCAACAGAACTTCGAATTGAATACCCATAAATCAATGCTGTCAAAAGAGGAGCACATCAAATTATCTTTAGGTTCCATGTTTTGTCTATCAGTCTTTCCGTTTATTGACCAAATTTGAAATAGTTAATTGACAATTACCATCTCCACTGCTCACTGGTGATACTCCAGTCAAGCAATTGATTGCTGTAGTTTTCCCCGCTCCATTGGGGCCAAGTAAACAAAACAACTGATCCTGAGCGATATTCATCCATAATCCCTGGCGAGTAAGTATAAATAAAGGGTGATTAGATTAAAAAAATGCAATACAAACTCCGATACCATATCTTTGCCTATCTCTTCCAAGAGGTAGAAAAAGAAAACCTTACGCACATTTCCGTGTCTGTCACAAGAGAGCCAGCATGAGTATCCGAAACTATCTAAGTAATAGTCTCTATCAAGAACCATATATCAGCTTAGTTTGGCCCTGCTGTAGCTTTTGCAGAAGCAGCTTCTGGCTGGAGCTTTTAGATAAGTACTTTTCAAAAAAAGCAGTTTAGTGTTTGGCTGTAAAACTATTAGAAGTGCTTTTTAATATGAGCGGTTGTGTAAAATGACTATAAAGGACTTATAATATAAAATATAAATAAAAATTCGAAACAATAAAAAGTAGTCAAAATGGATCTTGTTAGATTTCTTTTATATTAAATAATATGATTTTATAATTTATTTTATTTTTAAAATGATATAAATGAAGGAAAATTATATTTTATGAAATAAAATTAAAATATGGTAAGGATAATCTTGTATTTTCAAAACAGCTTTTCGCAGAAGCTCCAAATCGGAGCTTCTGCTTTTATGTTATACAAAAGCGCTTTTCGGCTTTTCAAAAGCCGAGCTTTTAGAGGTGTTTGGCCCTGCTTAAGCTTTTGAAGCCGAAAAGCACTTCTAAAAGCCGGGCCAAACATAGGCATCAACATTCACAATTGATGTTCTGAAATCATTTTGAAAATACGAGATAGTAATAGTATAGTACTTAAAGGCACTGATGTAGAATTCCCCCAACCTTTGCAGTGTTAGTAAGACTTGGAAAGTTTTTACTCACCCTAACGGCATGGTAAGATGAAGTTTTCTGACATTTGCAACAACCTATCTTCCTGGTTCCAGCATATGTCTTTGCAAGTCCACGTATCTGAACTGCAATATCTGGATCCATTGTGTCTTCTCTTGCATCTTTCTTAACCAAGTTTTCTTCTTCCAGGACATCTTCATCATCTGGAGTAATCTGTTCTTCTTGTGGTATTGAGCCCATGCAGCTACAGATGCCACCCTCTGGATAGATAAAGAAGAAACAGTTGGAACCTCTGCAACATAAAGGGCCTTTGAGTAATGATTGGAAACTAAATGAAATTACCTTTCACCTTGTTTCCACCTTTCCCTGTCCAGTACCAAGGATTTAAAAAGTAAAACACAGATTTTCTCACTCCATATGCATTTGGGATTATGTTGTCAAAGTAGATTGCCAAAACGAACCAGAGAACGAATGTTGCCAGGAGCCATATGAAGATATCATTCTGTAGAGAGCAGATGGGATAAAGCTCAGTATTAAATCGGCAGAGTTAATTATCGACAACATGAAAAAAGAGACATGACTGTGTTCTGTTATAAGTTTCAAGTGTGTGTTCCCTTCTAGTAAGACTTTACATCATTGACTCACAATTGTCATTGCACAAGTTGATGAATCTTGACGTGATATGCAGTCTGTTCTCCCGCTCCAGCTAATTCCAGTTCTTTCTGGGGTACGAGTGGCATCTGCAAGCTGTCTCACGGATAACGCAAGAAGATTGGGCGGAAACAATGACCAGATGTTCCTTAATGTCTGGGAAGTTTCAAGATCATAAGGGAAGCCAAATATAGTAACAATCTGCAAAGTTTATCAGAATGAGTTAAGTGTCAGAAAACAAGCAGCACTCACTCATATTTGAAATCTGACAATATATTGCCATTCAGAGGCCCAAGTAACTGTTTCCTGCATCAATTATCTCATAATGACATCTTTTCTGCTACAATAAATTCTTAAAATAGAAATGATCGTAGATGCACCTTCTATTCAACTAGGAAGTGATCAGTTTTACTATATGGTTCCTTTTATTTTATTTATCCAGGCTTATTAGGGGAAAGAGTGTTGTAGTAGGGCTTTGGCAACCATAATCCAAGTTCCTCTGACTGCTCAATTATCTCTAACAAATTGTGCCACCATATTGGCAAATGCAGTGGTTCACAGTCAAGAACTGAAATGCAGAATGCGAGAATACGGAAGTAATCAGAGTCATACATGTTTTTCTGGTTACTCAACCACGTATACTGACTACTGAGGGTATGTTTATATGAACAGGTTTCCGCACCATGGATGAAATGTACTATCCTGCGAGCAACTAGTTATCAATTTCCAGACTGGAGGAAAAATCCTCATTACCTACCACCACAATGAAAATTTGCCAGGAGTTGTGAACATTAGGACTAATGTAATTTCTTGCTTCCATGTTGAAGCTGAACTCTGACAGCCACAAGGGATTTGTGAAGGCTGGGGATATACAATCATCCCCTAGCATCTAATTGCAACAGCTAAAATTGACTAGTTCTCTGGCTTTGTCTCATGTTATCTATCAAAGGGCTTGAGGTCAATGTCAGGTCTATTTACTGATGTGTCAATTAATTGGTTCATGTATGTTTTCTAGTGGCCATATTGAAACTTTTAAAGAGAATCTTGCCTGGGTGAAAAATCCGACGATAAACAAAGAGAATCCGGCTGTTGTGGCTGCAGATGCCTTGCTAATGAAGGTTGACAACATGAAGGCGAAACCAATCTGGAGCAAGTACCAAAAATCCAGAAAGAAGTTAAATAATGATAAAGCAGAAATGACACAGTACTAGCACATAAGGGGGTACATCAAGTTTCTCACCATATTGAACTGAAAAAGGAAGAACACGAGAAAAACAACTGCAAATTTGTTTTTCTTGAAGAAATCAAACTGGAACATCATTCCAAAGAGAACCAAGAAAAGTGCTGAGAACAGTGCAATTATTCCCTCCCATGTGATCCATGACAACCAGTATGCAGAATCATAAAGGCCCATTGTACTCATTGCCTGCAGAAGAAAATGCAGATTAATGTAAAAGACTAGAGACCAACAACATAGTGGGCTGTGGATAACTGTTCAGACTACTCAAGCATATAGAGAGAGTCCAAGGAGCCATACCTGGCGAAGCTTGAGCTCCTTCTCAGTAACCAAAGCAGTAATCTGCAATACAAATCCAAACATGGCAAATGCAAGAAAGAAGGAAGGACCAACTGCAATCAACGCGGAGAAAAACACTTCTGCCGGATGTGCATATTCCTTAAGTTGAACCGTCCATCCGAAGTTAGGATCTGAATGCAGAGGAAAGCAAGGACATCAACTCAAAAATTCTAAGCACAATTCACAGAGAATTTCAGCAAACACGAGAGCAAATTCCAAGCAAACGATCCGAACCTCCGACGAGAAACCGAGCAATTTCACGCTCAGCAGCAACCTGAAGCGGGATTTGAAACTTTAACGTGGGATCTTCCATCCGGCCTCGCCTCCCTGGTGATGTAGAGTTGGTCTGAATACCATAGCTTATCACTCCGCTGCTCACTTCCCTAAAATGCAGAGCGCCGGGGGACTGCATCGGATTAGCTAAAAGCCAAGCATCTACCTCGCCCGTCGTTCTGAATGATTTCACCTGCACAAGCCTTCCACACTTAATTCTCGAACTCAAAACCGATTCGGATTCTCAAGAATATTCCAGTTTGCGTTACCTTAGCGTCTGGAATTGGGCGGCCGGGGTTATTCGCCATGATGCGGCTCACAACCCGGCCGACGGAAGCGCTGGCGTTGCCGCTCCAGAGGAAGTCGAAGCAGGGAGTACGGACGAAGAATTTCTCCTCGCAGGGAGGGATAGGCGGGGAGACGGCGGCGGCGGGGTCCCGGACGGAGGAGTAAGCGGTGGTGTAGTCGGTGGAGGAGTTCATGGCCTTCTGAATGCAGAAGAGGAGGAAGATGAAGACGAAGGAGGAGAAGAGCTGGAGGAAGGTCGCCCGCTTGTTCCGCCATGAGAGCAGCAGGTTCTTTCTGAACAGCGCCTTGAATTGCTGATACAGTAGCCGGCTTCCCCTCTGCAATTCCATTTTTCGCTGCCTGCCTGCCTTCAATTTAGGCCGCGAAAAAAAGAGGGGCGAAATTATTTTGGTTCGATTTTTTCCCCTTTTTTTATATACTTGCTTTTGCTTTTGAAAAAGCCGATTGGTGCCTTCCTTCCTGCTTTTAAATAGAGCGGCCGAGGAGTGGCCGGAGAAGCTAAAACGTTGTTAGCGCGGGTAGTGGGACTGGAGTGGTAGGTAGTTATTTACGAGTTTGGCCCTGTTGGGGGTCTATAATTACGGGGAATGCCATTTTGGAATGTTAACTTCGTTATCTTCGACGGTGACATCGGACGCGCAAAAGCAAAAACTGGGGGATTTGTAGTGTTGGTAAAGTTTAGGGACGATAGAATAATCAACGGTGTAGTCAACGTTATAATTTTGTTCAGATTTTGCCTGGCTTCATCTTCCTGTAACGTTCGCAGGAAAATGCTTGTTTCTCATTTGACCACGTCATAATCGGCAAATCTTCCTTGGTAAGGCATCTTGTTTACGTTGTAACCAATGTTAATCTTTGCTTTAGTTTCCATGTGAGAGGGTTAGCTACGGACCCGGGATGGATTCAATGCCTCAAACTCAAAGTTATATATTCATAATCCTTTTTTTTTTCCAAACTACCCAACTTACTTTAAAAACTTCACATGGTACAACACTTGCAACAAATATTACCAAGGTGGGATGGAGACGCAAGAAAAAGGCACAAATCAAGAATAGTGTGGTTTAAAGAAAAACTAAGATTAACACCCTTAAATGTTCATCTATGTTGTCTTGATTCGTTTAAGCTAAAAAAATAGGTTAATTATGTTACTATTTGAAGCAAGCAGAAATATGGGATATTTCTCAACCTATTGTGGACAAACCGAACGATCCAGCAAAAAGGTTAAACTCGTCCATCATCAAATTAAGGAAGACATATGTTATATGCACAATATATTTTGATTTGGAAGTTTAAGGAAATTCATCAGTCATGAAATGAGAACGCATGAGCAAAAAATTTAACCAAAAATGGTGCAATTATAAGGTTCCTCATACCGAGCTGATAATGTTCATTGTGCACTAGCATTGTACATATATGGAGGACACCTGAATTTGGACGGAAATATATTAAGGAATGTAATTCTAAAATCCCTATCTAAATAGACCAAAAATATGCTTATTTGGTACATCGACTCCTTTGATATTGTTGGATTCATGAAAACACTTAATTAAAAGCCATGTGCATCTAAGGATGGTAATTATCCATAATGGGTAATTTGATCTAAACCCAAATAAACTCAAATATGAGCGAAGAATATACGAGTTTGAGCATTTGCTTGGGAAGTTTGAATCGGTATATGAATATTATACGCCCATTTATGTTAATTTTGAATTTTGCGGCCAACCCAACAAAATTGGATATACATATCCTATAGGGTTGGGCAAAATTACCATGAATTCCTATACACGTGAAGGTAAGAAAACACCGAAACATTCTATCAATTCGTGAAACCAATAAGAATACATGTTGTTCTCGTGAGTTAATTCGTCGATTCTACGTGTCTTCTCCCTTGATGTTCAGGGGGACTCATCATATAGAGCACGCATTCAAACCACGTTCCTATAGCCGCATGAATGATCCATGGCCATGGGTAGACGACCATAACAGTTTTCAACGGGCCGAGTGTATTATAGACGCGCATTGCACTTATTAATATTATCACATAGATCCAGTTACTAACTTAGCACTTCTTGGCGTGATTGACATTAACTCCGAATCCAGTCAATACGAAAAAAAAGGAAAATAAAAAAGGAGAACGTAATAGAATAGCACTACTCGATCGCTTGCTTCTCGCCGGAATAGTTATTTGTATTCTACAGATCTAGACTTTTGCGTCTTTGGCTTTCCATCTAGGGATGGCAATGGGTCGGGTAGGGCGCGGATAGTGCATATCCATTACCCTACCCATAGTAATTCGGGTTTTACCCATACCCATACCCACATATGGAACGGGTAGGAAAATTAAGATCATCCACATACCCGTTTGGGTTTCGGGTATCCACGGTTATCCATGGATAATAATTTCTCTTCATAACTCTAACCAATATGTTAACATCACACGTATTCTCACATTACGTAAGAGGAAAAGTACGATAATAATTCACTAGAAGGAAGAAAATTAATTAAAACTACACAATTTCATGAAAATATTATATTTATATGCTAAATATAAAATATGTTAGAGAAAAATAATGATTATTTATGGACAAAATACATATGCATGTGTATAATCGGGCGGGTTCGGGTTGGATAGTGAGAAACCCATGCCCACCCATTACCCTCAATATTCGGGTTCGGATTTTACCCGTACCCACTAAATGTCCTTCGGATTCGGGTTTTACCCTACCCGATTAGACCAGATTTAGGCGGATATCCACGGTTACGGATATTTTTGCCATCCCTAAATTTCCATCTCTGACTAACTAATTTGCTACTTTTCATTAATTAATCGTATTAAGTGCCCATACCAATACAATCTATGTGTGTTGGGTCTAAAATGGAACGTAAGCATAATAGTACAAAATAAATATCCATACTATCTGTGGCCGCGACGTTATTACTCTGTGTTTGGTATAAACTGGGAGTAGTTATATTGAAGCATCTATGTTTAGTACAATAATTGCATGGGTAGTTTCCATGAAATCTGCTGTCGCAATACAATGGATCTCTGCTCGTGGTAGTTGGTATAGATGCACCCAACTCCGACTCTTGGGTTAGATTCTTAAACTCCAAGTTTCTTTGACAGCGAAAATAAAATACATAAGGTTTCCCGGTCCATGCTCAATATTAACCTATTTAAATATTGATTCCATTAACGTATCATAATTTTGAGTTTGTTTAGATAATGATTTTAATATGTCAGTTTGATACAATTGTTTGGTTGAATAAATGGTTTAATTAACTCGTTTGACAACATGAAATTTGAATTTGAATGTAGCGGTTTAATCAGATGAATTTTGAATTGACTCATTTGAGACGATTACAAATGTATGGTGTGTGACAGATAATTCAAATGACTCATTTTGTAAAATAAGACAATTGACTAAATTCTCTCGTTTACCAATTGATCTACCAAACAACCTTTCCGTCTTTGGGAATCTATCAGCACAGACAGCACTAGTTCGATTTTTAGAATTGGTTTTTTTTTTGTTTAATTTAATTTAGACTTGAGATCTTGGAGGAATGTCCGGTTGAGTGTTCTGCAAGTTGGCTCTGTATCTTTAGACCCGGCGGGTATGATATCATTCCCATAGAAAGGATTGTACGAATAGGAAAATATAATAAGGTAATGTCGTTTTTCAAAACCATTTTTTTCCTCAGAAGTTCCATGAATTCGGAATTTTTGCGTGTGATGTTATATAAGCACGTTTCAACTTATTCAAAAGCTCAATTTACAGAGGCATATAGTTCGATTTCACATTTTGAAGGGAAAAAAACACTTCAAATAGTGTAGCCAAACATAGACATAAGTTATAATAATAAATATAAAATTCTTAATCTAAATTATATTCCTTATAACCAGATAATCCTAAGTTCTAATTAAATCTCTTACGTTTTCTTGGTAGAAATATTTAAATCTCAATTTGTGCTGAGAAACTATCTGAGAAATTATCTTAAACGGATGTTTATTTCTATAAGTGAGAGTATTACTAAGCACTCCATAAATAGCGCAACTTAAGAGGATGTACGAGTGAAAAAAATAGAACATCGATTAAATGGGTTTACTGTTTCCACTCAATAGTGCATATTCCTAAAAAACCTGAAACAGAGGAAAAATACGGAGAACTTGGTGCATAGATAGATACAAATGGCAAGCTAACCGTTTGTATTAATACTATCAGCATCACCGCGTGGAGTTGTACCAAACCCAAACACATGCACCAACGAAGGGCAGTATCGACATTCCGCAGAGGCAGAGGGCAAATTATCAGCAATTAATTACCGCGAAAAAAACAGCAATTATTAATCAGATTCCTATAAACAGGAACATAATTACATAAGCGATCATGTTACTCAGCAGACGCGCATTCCGCTGATCTTAAGTCTTTAACGTAATTCTCAAGAAAAAGAAAAATAAATAAATAGAATCCCCGCAACCCGAAGTTAATACACCGATGGAGGGGTACTTTAGGCATTTTCAGGACGAGTTACCGGACAACTGAGCTCAGCAAACGCATATAAATCGCCGGTTCTCCGCCGCTGCACATTTTTACTCGGCTTACGGAACACCCAAACAGAGACGACGAGAGTGAGTGGTAAAACTAGCAGTCACAGAGAGAGAGAGAGAAGAGAGAGCTTAGAGGCCTGCAATTTTGAACTCTGGCGAGTAACGCAGTGAAGAGAATTGAGAAATAAGAAGTAGTTAGGGAAGGTTTACAGGCTGAAAAGCTATTCCTGATTGTTTGGCGGGAAAATCTGTGACTGTCACGTTAGTCCTGATAGTCTCTAACTCACTCCGATCATCCGTTACGGGAGAACAAGACTTGGCTTCACCTTCAATTCGATCATGGTGGAGCCGGAGGCTTCGCGCGGCCGAGCCAGTTTCTGGACTCAGGCTGATGCTCTACTCAGAAAGAACTTAACCTACCAGGTCCCTCCTCTCTCTCCCCCTCATTCAAATCTCCATATTTCATGCTTCAATTCTAGATTCAATTGCGTATATAACGAAGGCGTGGAAAAGCTTAGTAGAATTGAATCGAATTGTCTTTGTTTGGAGGTAGTGGTAGTTGATTCCTGCCCGGCGAGTTATAATTGATTTTGTACTTGGCCTTTGACAGTGCCGGGATTGAATGTTAGGTTCCTTTGTTTGTCTATTGTTTTGCAGAAACGGAATGCCAAGACGAACTGTCGTCTCATTTCATTTCCATTCATACTATGCATTCTCCTTGTTCTTGGTCAGAATCTGGTTAATAAGCAGTTAGACAACGAGAAGTACAAGTGTGGCTGTGCATGCGTTGATACAAATGGCGATGGGAAGTGCGAGGAAGTTTGTGGGTTGCAGTACTCAAATTCGGATCAAGCTGCCTCCTGCCCTATTACAAATCCCCCAGAATGGCCTGCCATTTTACAAGTTCCCGCACCTGAGTATCGAGCAGTGAAATCTAGTTTCATTCCGTTTAGAGACTTGCCAGATGAGTCTTGCCGGCTCACGGGGAACTGTCCTGCAACTGTGCTTGTCACGGGGAACAATCAGTCTCTTGGAGAAAGTACATCCCTCTTTTCCTCTCTCTCTGATTGTGTCCTTGTTTGCTTGTTTGTTCCCTTAGGGCTTCATTTTGTTTCTCGACAGTCTGCTTGCATTTGGACCTGAATCATAATTTCAATTTGTTATAGGTGTGGCTGGAAACATGTTCAGCAGTTCTCCCAGAGTCAACTTCTCAACCATGACAGACCTTTTAGCCAGCTCAGTAATTGTAAGTTGTTTATCTGTTTCAATGTTTCCTTTGTCTGAATCAGTCTCAGATTAACTTACAATAGTATTTTCTTGTTATCGAATTATGATTTGCTGAGCCCTTTTGTTTTCATGTAGTAATATTTTGCTTCTATTTGGAATTCCTATGTTTCAGGGATCAGATACAGAGACTGAATCCAATAATTTTGTTGACCCTGCTTTTATTGATGATTCTCCGCTTTACAATGTGCAACCTCAGTGTGGAACTAATTCTTCATTCTCTCTGAATCTCAGTTTGCCAATCATTGATTTCCAGAAAGGTAAGAACTTCAAGGACCATATTAGTATATTGGCCAAATACGAAACAGTTTAGAGTACAAAACTAGTGAACTCTGAATCTTCATGTATGATTGGTTTTATGGTTTAGAAGTCTTTGGTCTTAATGAAACATTATGATTGTAATTTCAGCTAGTTCATTCCTTAAACAGGTTCCTACTAACTTGTATTTGTGTATCCAAATAACATTCTGTTTCTAAGATTCCTTTGATTCTTGATTTCTTTACAGAGGTGCAATGTGTTCAAGGTCTGCACTTGTGGCGCAATAGTGCATCTGATATAAATGATGAGCTATACAAAGGTTATTACAAGGGGAATCCAGAGGAGAAGATAAATGAGATAACTGCTGGTTGGATTTCCTGTCTACACAATTAATATTGTTTGCATGCGTCATGGTTTTAATTGAAGGATTGTAACACTGTAGTTCTTCTGCAGCATATGATTTCTTGAACTCTAATGGGAATAATTTTAATGTGAGCATCTGGTACAACTCTACGCATAAGGATGAGGATGCTCCTGGTTCATTCAACTTGCTGCGTGTTCCACGCATGATTAATCTGGTATCTGCTAAGGAAACATTCATATGGGCTTTTCTTTTGTTGAATTGGATGCTGCAATCTGGTTGGAGGTTTAAAGCACACAGCATTAAGATATACTTGCGAGATCTACCATACTTGTGTCAATCTTATATACACACAGTACTAGCAGAAAATTAAATAAAAAAAATGGTTAATAGGAAATAGGGGGGAAATGAACACTGTAGTATGCTCTTTATTGATTCACCTTCTATTTTGGTTTTCTGTCCTTCACATCCATTTCCTCGAACAGTTTTGTTCTTTTTCCAAGTAAATGTGGAACCTTGATTGCTAGCGAAGTCATTTTAGGTGATTATTTACTGTCTGTCATATCAATGCCATTCAAATTACGTCAAGTTATGTTCCAAACTTAGGCACCTGTAGTTATGAGTTGTTGGAAATAATTTCATTTGAAAGAGCAGACTAGCTTGATTTTGTTTTACTCACTTGTTGACCTCACTTGTAAAGTTTTATTCTTTCGTAACCTAGTTATCTGTGTCCTGCCATTTGAGTTTCTCATGTTGCCATCATAGAGTAATATAACCGATGTTGAAGTAGTACATCTACAGGTCTCAAATGCATATCTGCAGCTCTTAAAAGGGCCCAGTGCAAGAATGTCACTTGAGTTTGTCAAAGAAATGCCGAAACCTGAAACTCACTTCCGGTTGGATCTCTCATCTATTCTGGGCACACTCTTTTTTACATGGGTCATTCTACAGCTATTCCCTGTAAGTTCTAAACTGATAGCTTATATAATTGAGTATTCTCTGCAATAGAAATTTCTTAGTTTGACCAAATTCTTTTGCTATGACAGACATTCCTGTAAAAGAATGAAACCTTGGTTTCTATACATTGTGAAACTTGGTTAATTAATTATCACTCATAGCTGGTTTCTGATTTAGCACCATTATCCTTCTTTGTTTTATGCTTTTGCTTGTGAAAAATAACTTCTGATATTGTGGGAGGTAGTTTGGAGGCATCTGCTGGTTTTGTAGCCTTAATCCACTACTAATAAGATTAAAAGAGAAAGATTTGTTCTACAGTGTCTGAGATGAGGTTCTAGTTTAGTGCTTTAGCTTTGTGATTTTGGACGTCAACACGTCTCAAGTTCAATACTCTTGGATGTATCATCACTTTATAACAATAAAGCAGGAGCCAGCAGTGAGAATAAAAAAGTGAGAACATAGAATGGATGGAGTTGTGGCCAGGACTTAGCCTTGGAAGTTGTTTCTTACTAACCTTGCTTTACTAACGGGTTCTCTAATGTTTTATATTAGTCAGAGGACCCATTACAGAAAGGCCATACAGTTTAGTACAGGATAATTAAACTGCCAATTGCTTTCTAAAATTTTTTAAGGTTCAGGCATGGATCCTGTCCATTATGATAGCCAGTTCGCCTGCTTTCATAGTGTCATATAATAAGAGCAGGGATCATTCTACTGTCTAACAAGTGTGATAAATATATCTTTTTATAGATGTATAATGAAGTTTTAATTAATGACTCCACAGAATATTTTAGTTGGTTATAAATGATTTTTTTATTAGTATTCATGTTGGTTAAATTAATGTTTTTATGCATTTGATGTAGGTGATTTTGACATCACTGGTATACGAGAAGCAGCAAAGACTAAGGATTATGATGAAAATGCATGGGCTGGGTGATGGGCCTTATTGGATGATTTCATATGCATACTTCTTCGCAATATCATTGTTGTATATGTTGGTTTTCGTGATATTTGGTTCAGTGATAGGTAACTTTCAAACTGTTGATGCCATCTATATTTCATCCCTTGCTGTTACTTACTGCATCGAATTTAATGCAGGTTTGAAGTTCTTTACACTGAACGACTACAGCATCCAGTTTGTGTTCTACTTCATCTATATCAATCTTCAAATCTCTTTGGCATTTCTAGTCGCAGCGTTCTTCTCAAATGTAAAAACTGCTACAGGTTTGGCATGCCTATCTCATTTGTATATGGAAGATATATTGGCTAGCTCGTTTATGATTACTAGATGATTGAAATCTTCTTTTGCATTCTGCAGTTGTTTCCTACATATGCGTTTTTGGAACCGGACTTCTAGGTGGTTTTCTTTATCAGAACTTCCTTGAGGATGCATCATTTCCACGTGAGTAAATTTTTTCTTGAAAGTCTCTTGTTGGGTTCGTGCTGCTTCTTCTGAATATTCATCATGCTTGGAAGAAACCTTACTAGTATTTAGATGGTTTATTAACCTTCTGCCATTGCTTTGTTTTCTCCTTCACAATTCTCATACACATGTCATAACTGACTCTGGTTTTTACTGCTCTTTTTCTTGTGTGCTTTTCATTTTTATGCTTGCTTCAGCTTCATTCATGCTTGGATATCACTTGTTGCTGCAGGAGGCTGGCTAAAGGTGCTAGAGTTGTATCCTGGATTCTCTCTGTATCGTGGGCTATACGAGTTTGCCCAGTATTCTCTAACAGGGAACAATACAGGAACTGATGGGATGCGCTGGGAAGATTTGAATGACAGTGAAAATGGGATGAAAGAACTCTTCATTATCATGACTGTGGAGTGGATTGTGGCACTTTTCGTGGCATATTACCTGGACCAAGTGTTGACATCTGGGAAAAGTCCTTTATTTTTCTTCAGGAACTTTGGGAAGAAACGCCCTGGATCTTTCCGTGTGCCTAGTCTGAAAAGACAGGGATCTAAAGTTTTCGTAAATCTGGAGAAACCTGATGTTATCCAAGAGGTTGCTTTACCTTTCTCATCTTGCCTGGCTAGAAATCTGTTCTGCCTGAATGTGCTTTTCTTTACCAGTACTAATTCATCAAGAGATTATCATGCAGTTGTTCTTAGTTGATTTTGTCTCTTCTTGTAGTCATAATTCTGGTGGAGTAAGTTTTCGTATCATTTTCTTTGAATGATGCAGAGAGAAAAGGTAGAGCAATTGCTTCTAGAACCAAATGCAACTCATGCAATTGTTTGTGACAACCTCAGAAAGGTGTATCCAGGGAGAGATGGAAACCCAGCAAAGTTGGCGGTGAAAGGATTGTCACTTGCGTTACCTAGAGGGGAGTGCTTCGGTATGCTTGGTCCAAATGGAGCAGGAAAGACATCGTTCATTAGTATGGTTAGTGCCAGTATTGTTTTCCCGATATCCTAGTTGTTGCTTTCATTTTCACATTTCTAATATTATCAGCAGTAAATTTGCGACAGCAAGACTAAACGAGATAGATTTGTGCCTCTGAGATTTAAAGAAAAACACAGCCAAAACAATGTCGTTCAGAGAATAATAACACTCCATATGCTTAAGATCTGGGAACGATTTGCTGTATCATAGTTGTTATAGTTGCATGATTCTTTCCCAAGTCTTCTCTGTTGCCAAGTTCATAATTGCCCCACCTCATCTCTATTGCAGTTAGATTCCATGAATTAAACTCTTTTTTAACTCTTCTAATTAGATGATTGGGCTCACGAAGCCTAGCTCGGGCACAGCATATGTTCAAGGTTTGGACATACGGACCCAGATGGATTATGTTTACACCAACATTGGGGTGTGCCCCCAGCATGAGTAAGTCAAAGTTTGGTCTCTTATTTTGCAGAAACCTTGATTACTGTCACCAACAAAAGAACACTCTCCTTATTTTTTCCTCTTATTGCTTTGAACATTTTAGCCTGCTCTGGGAAACTTTGACGGGAAGGGAGCACCTGTTATTCTATGGAAGACTAAAGAATCTGAAGGGTTCCGCCTTGACAAGAGTAAGTCATTGTAGAGTCACCAATCGTCAATAGCTGGAAAATCAAATAAGTTCTCCCAATGTTTTTAATATTTTATAGTTGTGACCCTGAGCCATGGAGCATGTTGTAGCTTTGTTCTATAATTTGGGAGTGCATAATTATGAGAAAGAAAATAAAACCCAGGAGAATGGTTCACATGACATATGAGCTTATAGACAAGACATGTATACGGTTCATTGGAGAGTATTAACCAGCCTTGTGTTTCTATTGGAGCGCTCTAGCTCGATTTTCTCTGATAGCTGCATTGCAGTGATAACAATCTGATTTTTTTCCCTGCTTAGTAAAGTAGACATGCTAACTGTTCCCTAATCTGGTCGCTGCAGGCAGTAGAAGATTCTCTTAGAAGCTTAAATCTTTTTAACGGAGGGGTTGCTGACAAACAAGCTGGGAAGTATAGTGGAGGCATGAAGAGGAGGCTCAGTGTCGCCATATCACTGATCGGGGATCCCAAGGTATGCCAGAGTCTCCTTTCGCTGTTTTGCATAAATGACCCTTTACATATTCTTGTTTCCAGTTTGTACAATATCATCAATCTTGGCAACTGGTGCAAGGTTGTGTATATGGATGAACCGAGCACTGGATTGGACCCTGCTTCAAGAAGTTGTTTATGGAATGTTCTGAAGCGTGCAAAGCAAGACCGAGCCATTATTCTCACCAGTACGCCCCCAATCTCCCTCCCTCCCTTTCATTTCCCCATACTACTCCTAGTCTTGATTACCCCCTTAACAGTTCACAACATGTCCTGGTTCCAGCGCACTCGATGGAAGAAGCTGAGGCTCTTTGTGACCGGTTGGGAATTTTCGTCGATGGTGGCTTGCAGTGTATAGGGAACCCAAAAGAGGTATCCGGAATATGTTCACTATTTAGCTTACCTTGACCATTTTTTCTTCTTCTTTCTTCTTCCTTTGGCATGACAGTAACTTTTGGGACACATTCTGTTGGTGATTTGTGAATATGGCAGCTGAAGGCCAGATATGGAGAGACATATGTGTTCACGATGACGACGTCAGCAGACCACGAGGAAGCAGTGGGGCAGATGGTAGGCCGGCTTTCCCCGAGTGCTGAGAGAACGTACCATTTATCTGGAACGCAGAAGTTTGAGATGCCAAAACAGGAAGTGAGAATTGCAGATGTGTTCCGGGCAGTTGAGATTGCCAAAACCGAGTTCCCGGTTTTCGCTTGGGGCATCTCGGACACTACCTTGGAGGACGTCTTTATCAAGGTGGCGACTGCTGCTGCTTAGCCAAAGCAACCATTAGTTGATTGGTTTTTCTTTTATCAGCCTAGTTGCTTGATAGCCAAGTAATTATTACCCCAGTTCTGTATTTATTCCCTTTCAGTAATAAAACAGATTAATAGAAAGTTTTTGGATATAGATAATTAAAAGAATCGAGCCTGAAAATTAGAACGTACCTAGGTCATCATTTTGAAGATTTAGAATTTGTGAATCTTATATTAAAGATTGGCGAATAAGGGTTTGGTTTAGCAATACACCATTTATTTCAATAGAATTCAGATTCGAAGTTTAAGGTGAACTTTTTCCTCTTTCGCATACCATTTCACTAGCATGTGGAAAAACTGAAATAAAGAGTAGTTGAAATGTGTTGGTGTAATTAAAAGCAATATAGGTAACATCATCGATTTCATACCAAAATGGATATTTAGTTAATACAAGCCGAGAGAAAATGTTTTAGTGTGATTAAATGCAATATATGTAAGATCATGGATTTCATACAAAAATGGATATTTGGTCAATACAAGCTGATAGTTAAAGTGTTCAATCAAAATAAAGTTAATCAATGTAAACGTTAAGTAATCGACCAAACAATCGTCGGCAAGAAAAAAAAAAGCTCTAATCGTGCTCTCTCTTTTCGGAGAAGTGGATTGGGAAACCGTCTTGTGCGCTTGGAAACCGTCGTCGTGCGCCTGTGCCGATCTATCTTCCCGCCGTCGTGCGGCGACGGAGCCTGGCTCTTCGGAGCCATATGGCTATAAATCCAATTCCCCTTCGGGGTGGGATTATGGGTCTTGGTCTCAATTTGATTGAATCTACTGATTTTCTTGTTGTTCTTGCTTCTGTGCTTTCTTTGAAAATGGCAGTTGTGGTGTAGTTCGATGACGACGATGTGGCTGCTGGAGTTGCCCGCGGAGAGCTATCTCTGATTGGGCGTTTGTTTGGTTAATTGGTTCACCCCCGCCGTTGTATGCCCTGAAGTCGATGATGGGCCGGGCGTGGCACTTTAATGGCGACCTTACCATTTCCAGAGTGGAGGAGGGTTTGACTCACTTCTTGTTTTCCCAACAGGCAGATCTCCGCAAGGCGGTCAACAAATCCCCTTGGATTTTTGATAACTTTGTGATTGTGTTGGCTCGATGGGCGAATCCCTCTCCTGATGTCGCTGATCAATTACGCCGAGCTCCTCTGGCGGTTCACATCTGACAGGTTCCTTTTGACTGCTTCACTGAGAAGATGGCTTTGCGGCTGGGCTCTTCTTTGGGAACGCTCAATGAACCTCCTACTCTCCATCGCTCCGACGTCTCGGGGGGGGGGGGGGCTGTATTTCCAGGCGGAACCAGTGCTTGATCTCACTGCTCCTCTTCCGGCCGAGATAACGGCTGGTCACGTAGATTCGCTCAAAGGTAACTTCGTTGCCAAGGTTAAATTTGAACGGGTGCCTCACTTTTGTTTCCTCTGTGGTGTGATTGGCCACATAGGGGAAGTGTGTCCGCAGAAGGAGGAGTTTGCAGGGAAGCCACCAAGGTATGGGTTGTTCTCGGTGGCGACTGAATCGGGTCCCCCTATCTTGGAGGCTACTCTGTCGAATCGGCGTCGGCGATTCACTTGGATACGTGCAGCCGCGAAGCGCCCGGCAACGACTAGACCTAGTGGCAGCTTCAAGGAACCCGCCCCTTGCCTGGCTCCAACCCGGTTGCTGACAGCCCAGGAAGCTGGTGCCGGCGATGTGTGGCAGGACACTCAGAGGCCTCGGTCTACGGCCATGGGAGATAGCTTCCAGGGGCTCTCGCTTCTTCCTTCCAAAGCCGATCACCAGCCTGCCTTTGCTTCATCCTCGGCGGCGGACACGGCCATGGATGATGGATTTGTCCCGGCTTCAGCGTCTCCAACTGCTAAGCGTGCCCGATCCAGCCAGGTGGTGGCGACGAACACTCAAGATAATGGTAAGGTGGCGGCTTCTAGCCTCAACTGGGCCCAGCTCGATCCATGAGCTTCATGGTGTGGAATTGTCAAGGGATGGGCTCCCCCTTGACCATTCCCGCGCTTGGTGGAGCTGTTTCGAGATTCGTGCCTAGTCTAGTCTTTCTTAGTGAAACTAAGCATGAGGATGAGTTTGTCAAAGCCAAATTTGCTAGGCTTGGGTTCAAGTCGGTTGAATGTTTTAGTGCTTCTCAAGGTAGTGGTGGGTTAGCAGTAGCTTGGGGGGATCATGTGTCTTGTACAGTTCACAAGCTTTCTTCTTTTCTTTGTTTTGTGGAGTGTCTTGTTCCACAAGTAGGTCGCTTTGTCATTTTCTTTGTACACCTCTCGTGTGATGCTTCAACTAGGCTTTCTCAACTTAATGAAATCGCTTCTTTGGTTTTGTCGGTGTCCTTACCAGCCATTGTTGTAGGTGACTTTAACTGCCTCCTGTCCTCGGCGAAGAAGAGGGAGGGTAATGTTCCGTCCATGGCTGCCCTAGAACACCTCAACGAGTTCATATTATCCACCGGACTCTTTGACTTAGGCTTTCATGGGTCTCCTTTCACTTGGTCAAATCGGCGAGCCGGGGGGGGGATCACATTCTAGAGAGGTTGGATAGGTGCCTCGGGAGTACATCGAAGATGACGGACTGGCCCGACCTAAAGGTAATCCATTTATCGGATTTAGGATTTGATCATCGTATCCTTCTTGTGAAGCTCATTAAATAGGGTCAGCATCGGCACACCCGGTTTCAGTTTGATGGGCGTTGGAACTCCAATGATGAGGCACTGAAAATTATCCGGGCGGCGTGGGCCAAACCGACCCGTGGCTCAATGCAGTTCAGGGCGTTTACCCAGCTTAAAATTGTGCGCCACGACTTAGTGGAATGGGCTAAGTTAGGTACCTCTAATTCGGCTCGGCAAATTAGAGAACTCAAGGCAGCGATTCTAGATCTTCGAGAGGCGGAGGTGGTGGATTGGGATGTTATCCGGCAGCTGGAACATTCTCTTTCGACTGCATTCATGGAGGAGGAGTGTTTTTGGCGTCAGAAATCCCGGGTTGGTTGGCTACGGGAAGGGGATGCCAATACTAATCTCTTCCACCGCGCAGTCATGCAACGGCGGCGGTTCAACCGCTTACGAGGTGTGAAGGATGACTCTGGTACCCTACATCATGAGGAGGATGCTATGGCAGGTATAGCTGTTTCCTTTTACCAATCCACCTTTACCTCTAACAATGTGGATGCTGCAGCCTATGTAGAGTCTCTGGGACTGTCCACTCGTGTGACTAGGGAGATGAATGACCGCCTAGTAGCACCCGTCTCAACTCTGGAAGTCAAGGAAGCAGTCTTCCGGATTGGGAGTCATCAAGCCCCAGGATCGGATGGGCTTTCAGTTGCCTTTTTCCAAGCTAATTGGGAGGTGGTGGGAGCCCTTATCACGAAAGCGGTTCTCAGCTTCTTCCGCACCGGCCGACTCCTTCACAGCTTCAACCATACTCTGATATCCTTGCTGCCGAAGGTTCTTAATGCCGACACAATGCGCCAAATTCGACCCATAGGTTTGTGCCAGGTATTCTACAAAATCATAGCAAAAATTTTGGCTGCAAGGTTAAGTGTGATTCTTCCTGATGTTGTTAGCCCCACTCAAAATGGCTTTGTACGTGGTCGGTCCATTACTGACAATGTTTTAATTGGCCAAGAAGTTATGCAATTCTTGAAAACTAAGGTGCAGGGTTGCGACAAGTGGATGGCGCTTAAACTCGATATGAAAAAAGCTTACGACCGGGTCGAATGTTCGTTTTTGTTGCTGATCATGGAGCATATGGGGTTCTGCTATGAGTGGCGGCGTTGGATCCATGCGTGTATTTCCACGGTATCCTTCTCAGTTTTGATCAATGGTCACCCTCATGGGCACTTCAGGCCCCAGCGTGGTTTGCGACAAGGTGATCCCCTCTCGCCCCTCCTCTATGCTATTTTCTCTAAGGCCTTCTCGGCTAAGATATCCAGTGAGATCATGGTTGCCTCATTACATGGTTTGCGTGTTCATCGATTTGCTCCTATGACTTCTCATTTACTATTTGCTGATGACACCTACCTTTTCCTCCGTGCTTCCTTACTAGAGTGTAATGCTTTGCTGTCTATTCTGGATGAGCTTGGCCGGGTGAGCGGGCAGCGAGTGAACCTGTCCAAGTCGTCCATGTCGGTGAGTTCCAATGTTTCTGACCAGGAACGGGCAGCTTTGGGAGCTTGCCTGGGGGTGGCTGATTCCCAAATGCAGGACAAGTATTTAGGGCTCCCAGTTCATATGCAGAGGTCAAAGACTCAAACATTCAGGTTTGTTGAGGAGGGGTTGGCTAGTCGCATCCGTTCTTGGAAATCAAAATGCATGTCTCTGGCGGCTAAAGAAACAGTGATAAAATCTATTGGTTCAGCCTCCTCTATTTATGCTATGTCTGCTTTTCGGTTGCCAGCTTTTACTTGTCGCAGGTTAAACGGTCAACTCTCGCAGTTTTGGTGGTCTGGCCAAGACAAGGAGGTTGGCATGCATTGGCTCTCGTGGCAAGAGGTTTGCCTTAGCAAATTCGAAGGGGGCCTTGGCTTCCGAGACTTTGATCGCTTCAACGTTGCTCTACTAGCCAAACAAGCCTGGCGGGTACTTACCAATCCAGATTCTCCGCTGGCGGAAGTGTATAGGGCCAGGTACCACCCTCACACCTCTTTCCTGGAAGCCAGACCCGGTCCTCGCCCGTCTTGGGCTTGGCAGGGCATTTTAGCTGGGCGGGATCTCCTCATTAGGGGCCTGCGGTGGCGGATTGGTGACGGGACTACCGTTCAAGTCCTCGCAGATAAGTGGCTGCCGTCAAACCCTCCTTCCTCTCCTCTGTTACTTCAGAATGTTTTGGCTTGTCCAATTTTTGTATCTGAACTAATCTGTCCCGTCTCTCGTTCATGGAACTTGCAGCTGCTTGGAAGTCTGTTTCAGCCATGTTCGGTAGCAGTGATCATGTCCATCCCCCTTGCGGTTCAGCCGCAGCCGGACAAGCTAATCTGGCATTATTCACCAAGCGGGGAATATACTGTCAAGACGGGTTACCACATGCTTTCTAATGAATTGCTTACATTACATCCTCCTTCCCCGTTGCCTTATGACAGCAGGTTTTGGAAGGTACTTTGGGGCTTGCAGGTACCACCCAAGCATAAATTCTTCTGGTGGCGGCTAGTTCGAGGCTTCCTTCCAGTATGTGCGGTACTACAGGGGAAGCGTCTGGTTACGGATGCTACATGCCCGATTTGTTCGGCAGGGGCGGAAACTCTGACACACACTTTTCTCCAATGTCGAGTGGCAACAGAATTGTGGGAGCTCGCTGGTTTGGGGAATCTGCGTCGCAGATTGGTTAGTTTATCCTTTTCGGAGTGTTGGATTGCTCTATTCTTTTCCTGCAACTTATCTAAACCTGAGATGACTGATGTTGTATTTCTGTGTTGGCGAGTTTGGAAATCCCGGTGCTGGGCGGTACACAAGCACGTTCAGTACTTAGGGCCTGCCCTTCTCCGCCAATTCAGGGCCCAGTCTGAGGAGTGGAGTCTTGCTACCGCGCCTTTGACACTGCGCAGGGGCCTTGGTGGGGCTTCGACTGACGCTGCACAGGCTGGGCAGAGATTGAGTCGGCTGCAAACTGCAGGGGAATGTCCAACTGATGGGATTTTGGTCCGGTTTGATGGAGCGTACAAGCGGGGAGTCGGTGGTGGCGCAGGTTATGTAGGCTTTACCCCTGAGGGGCAGGTTCTGTTCTCGTTCGTGCAATTTTATCCAGGTGTTTCTCATCCATTTATCTCTGAAGCTTTAGCCTTTCGTGATGCGATTAATTGATGTATTTTGCATGGGTTTAAGGTGGCCAATTTTTGTGGAGACTGTCAGCCTTTGATTCACAGGATTCAAGCCCGGGATGTGGCGCATGGGATTTGTGGAGCGATCTTGGACGAGATTTGTTTGGCCTCCGAGTCTTTTAATTTCTTTGTTTGTACGTTTACGCCGAGGTTGTACAATAGGGCTGCCCACTTAGTGGCTTCTTATGCTCTTTCATCAACAGCTCGATATTGTGTCGACTGTCGCGTATGGTTGTCTAGCGTCCTGTAATATCTATTACCTTCCCGATCTATGGCAAAAAAAAAAAAAAAAGTGTTCAAATCAAATTGGCATGTATTCGATAATGTTTGGTTGCAGGACAAGACAAAAAGTAGAACAAACACAAAGAGTTCGTTTAGGTGATAAAATATAGTAGTTGGCATGACGTTGTTGGTTTCGATTTCCATAACCTATTTTTTAATAGTTATCTATAGGATTATTATTATAAGACCGAACCACTCACTTCTACGAGTGTGCCGCATACTCGTGGATTAGAACGATATGGGCTAGTACGTACAACGCTCCACAAAAAAAAAAAAAAATAAAAAAATAAAAATTGATGGATGAGTTTGGAATTTCTTGTACAATGATCCTTTGACAAATTGTGTAGGACTCGCATTACATCAACGCAAATCGTCGAACTCACACAAGTCACCGCAAACAGCCAAACAACTCCAGAAAATCAGGATAAGATTAAATACAGTAGGAGAAGAAACCAACGAAAGGAAACGATGTAAGCAATCAATCGCCACCTCAATCCAGAAACAGTCAAAACCAAAATCAGCCCCAGAAACAGTAACCGAAATATTTTACTAAATATTCGCCGAACAGAACTCGATCTTCTCTTTTCTCAGTTTTCCTACACTTCACTTTCGGATGCTCAGTTGAGCGACTATTCCGTCTTCTTATCCTTAATCATCTCCCCTTCTATCTCCTCTCATGCCCTATATATTACTGTAAAAGATACTCGAGAAAAGATGTCTTTCGATCCATAATCTGTTACACACAAAAAAAATGACCAAGCTCTCTGTTTTCTTCACTCTCTTCCTTTTCCAAGCCCTGTCATTTGCCAGCCATGGCCACTGCAAGGCAGAAGACGACGAGGTGGCAGTGAAACAGTACGAGCTGCAGAAGGGAAATCTTAAACTGGGATTCACCAATTACGGTGCCACCTTGAATTCCGTCACCTTCCCTGACAGACACGGTATAGTAAATCTAAATCCCCTGTTTCTTACAGAAAAAAAACAGAGTCCCTCTGGGGTTTTATTCCATTCAATAAAAAGTCTCTTTCTTGACGCTCTGTTTCCAATTTCCCAGGAAAATTGGCTGATATTTCCCTTGGTTTCGACAACCCTGAAGACTACAAGGTCTACGCTGTGAACCCAATCTCCTTTCTTTCCTCTGTTTCAGTAACTCCCCTGTTTTTTTTTTTTCTGACGCTCTGAATATTTATCCATGGCTGACAGAATGATACGGTGTACTTCGGAAACATTGTTGGACGAGTTGCTAACAGAATCGGAGGGGCCGGATTCAAATTGAACGGAACCTACTACAAATTGCCCGCTAATGATCACAATAACACCTTACACGGTAATCTCGTTTGGTAGAACACAGATTCTAAGCAAATAATGTTTATAATGTTTTGGAATACCGTATTCGATTCTGATGTTGTTTTCTTTATCAGGAGGGCCAAAGGGATTTTCCGATGTCGTCTGGAAAGTCACAGAGCTCGTCCAAACCAGCAAGCAAGCCCACATTACCTTCTCTTACGACAGTTTCGATGGAGAAGAAGGTACACATGGCAAATTCTAGCCGACGCTATATGTTTATGTTCACACCTATTATTTGTACTTTGATAATTTCAATGAATCAGAATTGTTGGTTTTCATTTTAATATTAAATGCATCTTATGATTTGTATTAGATAATTGCGGACTGGAATTCACCCATTACATGTTAAAGTATAATATCATGCCCAAAACGTTTCGTTACTGATGCGTTTTGGTTCATTACTTCATTTCACAGGTTTTCCGGGAGACCTTTCCGTCACAGTAACATACATGATCCTGAAGCACAACATACTCGCTATCAGAATGTCGGCGACGCCCCTGACCAAAGCCACCCCTGTCAACCTGGCCTACCACGGCTACTGGAACCTCGGCGGGCACGACAGCGGGACGATCCTGAACCACACAATCCATATCATCTCCCACTCCTACACTCCGGTGGACGACCAGCTCATCCCCACGGGCCAATTCGCCATGGTGAAGGGCACACCCTACGATTTCACGACGCGCCCGCGACAGATCGGGAGCAGGATCGACGAGGTCGAGGGAGGGTACGACATCAATTACGTGATCGCGAGGAAGATCGGGCCCCTGGAGCCGCACCTGGAGAAGACCGCGGTGGTGAGGGACGAGGCGTCGGGGAGGAAGATGGAGCTGTGGACTAACCAGCCAGGGGTTCAGTTCTACACGGGGAACATGTTGGACTCTGTGAAGGGGAAAGGTGGGGTTACTTATAACAAGTATGCAGGGCTTTGCCTTGAGACGCAAGGTTTTCCGGATGCGGTGAATCATCCGAACAATTTTCCGTCTCAGGTTGTGGAGCCTGGTCACACCTATGTCCATGTTATGGTGTTTAGGTTCACGGCTGCTTAGATTAATTAGTTGGTTTTGATGTTTGTGTTAGGGTTAGGGTTGGTTAGAATAAAGAGATTTAGTGGTGGTTGTTTGGATAGAAAGGTTTGGTTGAATAATGATGATGTTTTTGGGGTGATTGAGGTTCAAAGTGGGATTGGTTTGTTGTCTGGGTTTGGAGAGGTTGAGGATGTTTGGGGGTTTTCTCAATTTGGAGCTATACGTAACAAACTTGTAAGTTTGGTTGAAAGTTGAAACATCCTTTTCACTTGCTGTTGTTGAAATATTATTCTCTTAAGAGAATGGAAACACACGCACAAAAAAAAAAAAAAACCATGTTAGGGATGGAAACCTTCGGTTCACTATCCGTTATTCAATCTGAATTAGTTAAGATTTTATCTATACTCATATTCGTATAAAATTTGGATAGTAAATCAAAATCATATTGGTTTTGATTTTGGACTCGGTCCTCCATGGATATAGTTTTTCCCCTTATTATTTCATCTAATGCGTTACTATTTGCGAGAAGCACTTCTACAGTTCTACTATGCTATAACGCATTGATGCTTTAATGTACTACTTGAAGGTGTACCATAACGTTAACTGTATAAGTTCAGGTTGTACCATAAAAGAATTTGTACAAAGAGTATAGGTACAATATGAAGTTGTACGTATACATAACATTAAACGTACAACTTCTAGTTGTACCATAAAAGCAAAAACCTATAGCACCAAGGGCCCGGATAGTATAACAACACCCCTTGTGTTGTTATAGTAACATCAGGGGTAAAAAGGGAAAACTAACAGAAATTAATAAATTATAATTGAGAAATAAAATTTTCAATCCCTACCTGTCTCTCTCGATCTCCTCCGATACCATACCCCAATGACTGCATCTCCTCCGGTACGCTCGCCTCCATCACCGGCAGGAACACCCTTGATATCGACTCTGACGGTAGAGGCGTCGCCCTTCCTCTGATCTCAGACAAACAACTAGATCGGAATCGCGATGTATCTGGCGGCTACGATTGAGGCCTCCATCCCCCGCCGTTCCTTCTTTCTTCCTCCGCCGGGGTTGCCAGTCCTCATCTCGTCTCTTCTTTCTTCCGACGCCGGCGCCAGCTGCGGATTGGGCGTCTGTTGGATGACGGAAGCGACGGCGCCGGGGGAGAGGAAAGGGACCATGGCGTCCAGCTCCGGCTCCAACGGATTGGCTTCCTCGATAATCGAGATGAGTTCGTCGGATACGGAAGTCTCCGAGAAGGGAGCGGTTGCGGCGGCGAGAAAGTAGCAGATCTGATAAGAGATTTGATGGAGCAGAAGCTGGAGATGCATTAGTTCTTTCTTGTTGGAAGAATCCTAAAGAGAAAAGCAACATCACAGTAAGCAAGCTTAAAGAATGGAAATACCAACTACTTTTTACAACATTATACATCCATTTTGAGCTCCCTGCTGGTTTTTGGTAGTAGAGATGTTAGTTGGCGAGCGAGCCACACAACAGAGAACAACCCCCCCCCTCTCTCTCTCTCTCTCTCTCTCTCTCTCTCTCTCTCTCTCTCTCTCTCTCTCTCTCTCTCTCTCTCTCCCTTCAGAACTTGTTCGAAAAATGATCCAACCCCTGGGGGGAATGGTGCATCATAGGGACAAACCACAACATTTGCGAACTAGTGCAAACCACAAACGCAATAAAACAATCCACAAAAAATATATCAGAAACCTACTAATGTAAACCACAAATTCGCTAAAACATATCAGAAACCTCACAAAGCAAACCATAAATATTTTGAAAAGCACACCAGAAACCCCCTAATGCAAACTACAAACACGGTAAAGCAAACCAAAAACGTCCTAATGCAGACCACAAATATATTAAAACAAACCAGAAACCTCGCAAACCAAACCACAAAAGTTTCGAAAGCACACCAGAAACTTCTTAATGCAAACCATAAACCTCCTAATGCATACCACAAATCTCCGAAAACAAACCACAAACCTCACAAAGCAAACCACAACATTTGCGAAAGCACACCAGAAACCTCATAATGCAAACCACAAACACAGTAAATTAAACCACAAAAAAGCAAACCATAAACGTCCTAATGCAAACAAAAAATATATTAAAACAAACCAGAAACCTCACAATGCAAACCACAAAGTTTTTGAAAGCAAACCAGAAACTTCTCAATGCAAACCACAAACACAATAAAACAAACCATAAAAGGCATAAAAAAATATGAGAAACCAAACCATAAATCTCACAATGCAGACCATAACATCCGGTGGTCGTTGACCGTTGACTGGTCAACGAAGACCGTTGACCGGTCAACGAAGACCGTTGACCGAACTCCGGTGACCGTCAGTGAGCAGATTCCGACGCCGATAGGCATATTCCGGCCCCGGTGAGTAGATTCCGACGCCGGTAAGCATATTCCGACGCCGGTAAGCATATTCCGACTCCGGTAAGCATATTCCGGCCACAAAATAGCATATTCCGGCCACAAAAAGCATATCCCGTTGACCGGCGACCATTTTCCGGCGACCGGTGGCAGAATTCCGACGACCAAATTTTTGGGCAGAAAATTAAAAAAAATTAATTTTTTTTATTTTTTATTTAAATATATTTTTCATAATGACAATTATACCCCTGCTTTGATTTTACACTAGGTCAACTCATTTAATGAAAAGTCATCACAATCCTAGCTTCCTATTGGTTGGGGACTAGTGTTGTTACAATAACAACACAATGGGTGTTGTTACAATAACCAGTCCCTAGCACCAATGCTATATAGCATTGTAAAATTCCTCCTTTGTGAGTATATTTTCACATTATGCAAGTGTTAAAATTACAATTATACGTCACCAATTTTATAAGAAATAATAAAAAGGAATCAGAATTCATTAGATGATATACAGAAATTTATAGAAATAAACTACGTATGCATCTATAATCAAGTGGGTTCAAGTTAAATCATAGGTAAATCATATCCACCCATCACTCACAATATTCGAGTTCAATTTCTATTTTGATCAACTAACTTAATTCGGATTTCACGCCATCTAATCGGGGCGAGTCTCGATGGTTAGCCATATTGGTCGATATTTTGCCACCCCCTGAAGAGGGGAAGCATTTGTTCATGGATACAAATGGTTATAAGGATTTGGTAACTTGAGCCTTGTTTATCGAAATTGTTATAAGATCTTGATTAGGGACAAAAAGAAAAAAGCATAACAAAACTATTTGTTATCTTGTTTCTCCACTGTCCATTGTCAATGATCATAAGCTTACTCCAGTGTGGCTGTCGAGACGCTTTACCTAGCGGTTGATGGTCGAGCATCCAGTTAGTTACAACGACCAAGACGTATTCGATTTTCCTTCCTTTACAAAACAACGAACGAACAGGAAAATGAAAATGGAAAAAATTAAACAAACTAGAGCGAATCCTGAAACTCAACGGACGAAGGCATCTGAAAGCGACAGAGAGGGCAGAATCGGCTCTTCCGGAGCCAACTCCTGATGCAACCCCCGTGGTAGACGTGAAAACAGGGCATCCGGGTCGCTTTGGATCCGACCCGAATCTCATCCAAACATATCACGCAAGACTTCGTTTCGCCATCCCTTCCAATCCGGACCTTCTCCAATTCCTCGACGGCCGACTCGCTCGTTGCTGCCGGCCTGCCTGAACTGCTAATTCTTCCCATATATTCCGCTCCTTCCTGACTCGAGCTGCCAATTTGCACGGTCATCGTGACGACTTGGCGATTCGATCGGGTTCCCCAATGCTCCTGGGCGCACTCGTGGATCCTGGCGATGGCGATCGGGTGGGCCTCGGCGGGGATTTCCATCTCCAGCAGCCGGGCGACTATCGTCGACCAGGAGGTCGGATCGCAGAGCAGGTGGTCCCTGGGGACCCGGAAGTGCTTGTGGATTGTGGGGATTTCGGATTCGTCTTGACCCGGGTCGAGGTCCTGCGGGATGATCCGGGCGAACAGCTGGATCAAGAACACGGGTCCGGCCGCCGCCGCCGGCAGCCAGGAATCGTGGAAACGGTGTGGTTCGTGGTCGTCGGCGTTGTTGCTGCTGTCGTCGTCATCGGCCGACAGCCATGCCGCGCAATGGTAATGGGCGGCTGACATTGTTTTGGGGGAGAAAGGAAAGACGTGAGAAGAGGGGAATGGGAGAATTGAAAATGAGTGAAATTGGGATCGGAAGATTTGGGAATGTAGCTAATGCTTCTTTGACCTTTTTAAGAGCCGTAGATATATGGCCATGGGTGCGCGCTTTTTCTGAGTCCGAGTTGGATTAGGAATTCCTAATCTGTGGGTGGAGGATGAGAGGGGCAAATCGAGACAGAGTAGGTTCGAAGTAAACTAATAAGACAAAATAATGCAATATGATGAACTTTTAGTTTGACTCGATTTTTTTAATTTCAAAAATCACAAATTTAAATTGGTAGTTGTGAGAATGATTCGAATGGGAAGTTGACGCATGTATCAAATAATCAACCATAATTTTGTCTACACCTTTTATAAAAGCCGGAAGCCAAAAACCCAAACAACATTTCAAATTTCCGACGCTCAGAATACGTACTGGGATTCGAACCATGACCATTTTAAAGAAAAGCAAGAATAATAACAAATCACACTAAGTACATTTGTTGTATCTTTTTAAATTAAATACATATAATAGTATGGAGGAAAAAACCCTTCCCCCATTTCAAATTCCTTGCTCCAGGAGCGTTTGTAGGAAGGGTAGAATAGGGAGTGTCAATTTTTTTCTCTTTCCTCTGTGAAATGGGCCAACTTACCGTACACATGCGAATTTAAACGGGTCTAGGAGTGTCAATTTTTTTTCTTTAACCCTTTTATTTCTCCGTGGTGATAAAATATATATGAAAAGGCAAAAATAATATTCCTTTTTATTGTTAAAAATAAAAAATTTAACAATAAACTAATGCATGGTATCTAATGGGTAGGGATGGCAATTACCCACCCATGGGTAATTTTACCCAAATCCAAATAGATCCATTTAGTATGGGTAGGGTTTGGATGAAGTGTATATGGGTTTGGGGGTTTGGGTTAGGTATAGATATTGCTTTCATAATGTGAATGGGTATGGGTTGGATATGGATATCCATTTACTTGAGGGTCTTTTAACTACATACACAAAAATTGGACCTATTTGTAAAACTTGAAAAGTTTAGGTACCAAAATGTAAGACCAAAAAAATTTAGGTACCAAAACGTAATTTTCCATCGATATTTTGAGGACTTATATGCAAAAAAAATTAATTTTAGGTACTAAATCTGCATATCTATTAAGTTTAGGTACCAAAATTTAGGTAAACCTTTGGGCATGGGTACAAACCCAAATCCATGTGTTAAAAACCCAACCCAACCCAAATAAATGAGTATGGGTACAAATCCATCAAACTCTATCCATCTACCATTTATTTGTAATCCATACCCAACTCAATTGGGTTGGATAGTAAAATACCCATGGGAATAGGTAAAATTGCCATCCCTACTAATGGGCTAACCGCTAACCATAAAATAAAAGAGTTGAATGGGTCTGACTTACATTGGATTTGACCATCAAGTAAAACAAATGAACATCATTGGTTTGTCATTCTAAAACAAGCTATTTTCTCTGGCATAATATATACTATGCTATTATTTTAGATCTTAGTGGCTAAAATATAATGTATTTTAAAGTTATTCAATGGTTCAACCTCGACCAACCCAATTAGTCCAATTTTTATCATTTCAAATATGTATTTTTATAATTATTTGATATCATAATGATCAAATTATAATGTATTTTATAGGGAATCGTTTGGTATTTGTTAGTAAAAAATTAAACATAAAGATCTATTTGGTTATTTTAAACATTAAAACGATCCTAAACATTTTCAGTTCCTTTTGAATTTCTATGGTTTTATTCCCGAATAAGTGATGTGAAAATGGCGAATTGTAGTCGTCTCTTTTTTTTCACTATTTTTTATTTTCAAATAGAACGTTTAAAAGTAAATAATAATTAGAATTTGGCATGGGTCGGTCAAACAAGCTGAATTTCAAGTTTTGGCCCGTTTGTTTTATGCATTGCAAATTTATTAGCATGTTGATGGAAATGGCTTGGAAAAAAGACATATAAGTTGTACCTTTGCAAAAATGTCCTCAAATGTTTGAATGCTTTGTGAATCAGGTTTCGTGACTTTTGTGATGGTGTATGTGCTTGACGATTGCTCGATGTTGCAACTACTTAATTTGAGAGCAAATCTTTTGATTTTCCCTATGAGTTGTGATACCAGTTCTGGTAGACCGACAACGGGGAGGGATGCCCAGGACTAATTCAATGATGATTGATGATGGTATAATAAAAACTACAGTCTGCATCAGCACCAATTTCTAGGCCTAAGTAAATTTATTCAACCCAGAACACTGCTTAGCGCTAAAAATTGCGCTCACCCAACCTTGATCCTGTTTGACCCACTTCTGAAGAGTCAAGATATATGACTAATCCTCCCCGTTCGTATTTTCTTATTGACTCTTTCTGACCCTTTAGGTTGGGGCGGGTCGGGAAGAATCGGATTAGTGGGTCGGTCCTAATCAAGCGGAATCTCAATCCCTTCACTCTCACTTGCTTTCTCTCCCATTCCACAAGTGGGTAACATACAGTAATCCGGCCAACAGGCCGGGTGATAAGCTAGTTTATAATAAAGAATTAGACACAGATAACATAGGTACGTAATAATGCGAAACAGGTCCAACCTAGTTGATAGGGAGGTGAATTGCCACACAAGAGATTGTGTGTTCGATCTCCACCTTTTGTTAGTTGGTGCTCTGCTTGAATTTACCACAAGTCCGGCTAGTTATCAATGGCCTAGTCAATGGCCGGCGATCTGGAGTTTGGCCTACTTATGGTGTCGCCAATGTGGCGTGTATGGGCAGAGGTTCTTCGTTATTAAGAAAACACATAGGTAACGACTGCATATGAATAGCGCGCATGATTATCGTTTTTGTGTATCACCAAATGACCCGGTCAATGGTTGGCGATCTGGAGTTTAGCATACATATGGTGTCGCCAATGTGGTATCCATGGGTAAAGGTTTTTAGTTAAAAAAACACATAGATAACGACTGCATATGAATAACGCGCATGGTTATCGTTTATGTGTATCACCATGATTCCACGATTTAGTTAGGCACAAGGCATAACAACAAAAATATTACAAATACCGAGTATAGTATAGTAGGTAAAACTATAAATAGACTTTTGTACCATTTAGAATTTGAAGGTGTTAGAGACATGACTAGACACTAAGTGAGCTTGAATTATATCGGATGTCCCCGAAGGGACTAAGTGAGCTTGAATTGATGCTAGATTGTGGGAGACAAACAAGGGCAGTGAAGGACTCTTGTGTTTCTTGGAGCAACATGATTAGCTAGTTATAGCTTGTTTTAGCGGTTGGTGGAAATCTTGAGGGTTGATATGCTTAGAGTAGAGATAGCAATGGGTCGACTTATTTGTTTTTTATTTATAAATGGATGCAGTGCATCTCTGCCTTCATTCAAAACCAAACGGGGTTCAGAGAGACCCTGACAATCGTACATAATGAAATTACACTAAGTGGGATCGGAGCAGGAGATGGAATGATAACCTAGGGGCAACAAATGCCCTCTACTAGCAAGATGATCGACACACTTATTCCCTTCTCTAAAAATATGGGAAACCACAACTTCCCATTGATGAGTGAGCAGCTCTCTGAATCTCTGGACAATGGCCGCCTGTTGGTGATCTGGCGAGTCCAAGCTTTCGAGGAGCTGAACCGCACAGAGAGAATAGAGCTCCACTCTGACACGTCTGAAACATGTGTCCCAAGCCAGCTGCAGCCCCTCTACAGCGCATCTCAACTAAGCCCGGGTGATAGAGCAACTCCCCAGGTTAATCGCGTATGCTGCAAGGCAGCGTCCTATATGATCTCGAATCAGGCCACCGGTAGCTGCATGACCTGACTCAGTATGAACGGAGCCATCAGAGTTGAGAGTAACCCACTCGGGAGGTGGCGGCTTCCAAGAGATCTCCATCTCCGTTCTCATGGGCAGACGAGGCTGGTGAATGAGCCTGTCTTTGTCCAAGGCATTCCACACGACATTAATCCATGCCCAAACGTGCTGTATAAAGGCTGCAATGGTCGTGATCTTTCCTGCAAAGACTCGATCATTCCTGGTCCGCCACAGGGACCAACAGACAATGCCGAACTCCAGACTAGTGAGGTCCTGGCGAACATGATAAAGAATCCAATCCTGCAATTGGGATCTGAAAAACTGTTGGTGGTCAGAAGGCTGTATGAACTGCATCCAAGTTAACCTGGAAAACTCACAGTCTCGCAACACATGCAAGACAGTTTCAGGGGCCTCTTTGCACTGGGGGCAGATGTTCGTGGTTGATAGGTGCCTCCTGTATCGTTCAACATTGGTGAGAAGGCGCTCCCTTGCTGCTAACCAGAGGAAGTGAGTGACTCGGGCTGGCCCTCTCCACCGCCAAATGGAACGCTAGTCAAAAGTGTTCCACGCATCGTCACCTTGACTAATGAGCTGGTACGCTGATTTGACCCGGAAACGCCCATCCCGCTCTTTTCCCCAGGTCGGGGAGTCAGCATCGTACCCCTCTCTCGGCGGTTGAACGCCCAATAACTGTAAGACAAATTCCTCTGGCAAATGTGAGCGTAAGAGTTGTACGTTCCACTCACCATCATTAGCGAAGTGGGCCACAGGGAGGGCGGGGTCCAGAAGGGGGATCGTGTCTAAAGCATGGTCAATGAGCAACTCTCCCGAGTCCACCCATCTATCTGTCCAAAAGCTTGTGTCCATCTCGTCTCTTATGCTCATTCTCATGCCTAATGTCAGGTTTGAATTTGGTGATATTTGGATAAATTCATTTGGATTAGATCCAAATGGGCGTCTAATTGGGTCTACATGATTGTACACACAAAAAATAATATCAACCATTTCATAAACAACCTTCAATCCAGGTATACACCTTTAATGATTGCATTTTAATTGGGTACCCATTTTCTTTTGGACTTCAAATATTATAGGTTCAATTTAAACCCAAACTAATAAAATTAGACATAAGTATACCCAAAAACAAAATCATCGAAACTTAAATTAACTCATAATAAGCTGGATTTGGTTAATATCCAAACTTTAAAATTCATTTGTCATCCCTAGATATGTTGGCTGCTATTTTCTCTCTATTGCATGTTTCACATGTACATGTCTTGAGCCTAGTCAACTTCCTGCATTGTTCATATACCCTCCCTTCTCATTTATCTTCTTGTTCTGTTCTTAAGGTTGTCAACTTGTCATGTAACAACAATAACAACAAACTATACTTCCCCAAAATTTTCTGATTCTTCATCTTCTTTTCAAGTTTCAAAACATGCTTGTAGGCCGTAGCGAATATAAAGTAACATTGAGTTGCAACTGATTTTGCATCTTGAAAGAAATAGAACACATGGTTAGGTTTATAATTTATCAATTTTCATCCTACCCAAAAAATAATTCCACGTACTTCCATTTTTCAATCACCCAGACAATGATTTTTTTCGAACCAGACTAGAATGAATCTCTTATTATTTCTTCACTAACATATATCTTAACTAGCCATTGATAGCTCATTTGGTGGGTAGAATGGATATTTTTTTTATATATTTCCAGCAGGTTTAGTTGAGTTTGATTATTTGAATCGGACCGAGTCTAACCAAATGAAGTTAATATATTGTTGGTTTGATTTTGATCCTCAATTTATTTTTCTTTTAGGTCCGGTTTTATCTTAAGTCAAACTAATTTCTGGATCGAATCTATCGGTGTTCAATGTTATTAATAACAGGTAGCTCATTTGGTGGCTAGAATGAATCTCTTTTTTATTTCCTGCAGGTTAATGTAGTTGAACTTGATTTTCGTTGTTAGACTTTGCCCACTATATGAACCGTTGTATCTTTATGAATTCCAAATTTCCAATGGGTTTCACCTCCTCTAGGGGGCTTAGGCAGGGAGATCCATTGTCGCCTCTCTTGTTCGTGTTATGCACAGAGGGGTTTGCGGCCCTTCTACGGAAGGCGATCTCGGAAAAGAAGCTGGAAGGGGTGAAAGTGGCCCCCGTGCTCCTAGAATCTCTCATTTGTTCTTCGCAGATGATTCGTATTTATTCCTGCAAGGTTCTCTTCAGGAGTGCGAGAATATGATTGAGGTGCTAAACGAATATGAGGAGTTGAGTGGTCAACGGGTTAATTTGGAGAATCTGCAGTCTGTTTCAGTAGAAATGTTGCCTTACCAGATCAAGAGTTCTTGGCCACAATTCTAGGGGTTGGTGCAGTAGGGGTCCATGACAAGTATCTGGGGTTACCCACTTTGATTGCCCGCTCCAAAATGGCTACGTTTCGATATCTTGAGGAGAAATTACTGGAGCGACTGCAAGGGTGGAAGAAAATGACATTATCCTGGGCGGCAAAGGAAACGCTCATTAAGTCAATAGCTGTGGCCTTGCCCCTGCATGTTATGTCGTGCTTCCGGTTGCCCCTATCTCTTTGTCGTCTTTTGGATAGACATGTGGCCCGGTTTTGGTGGGGTGCTGAGGAGGGCCATCCCAAGGTTCGGTGGGTGTCCTGGCGCAACCTGTGCAGGAGTAAACATGATGGGGGGATGGGATTTCAACGGTTTGAACATTTTAACCAGGCTCTTTTAGCAAAAATTGGCTGGCGTATTCTCAACGAACCTCATTTCCTCCTTGCTCAAGTGTATAAAGGGAAGTATTTTCCTCAAGGAACTTTTATGACCGCAAAAGCTAACTCACGCCCTTCATGGGGATGGCAGAGTATCCTGTTTGAGCGTCAGTTACTGAAGGCGGGTTTAAGATGGCAGATCGGCAATGGGTGATCCGCCTCCCTTCTCCACTCTAACTGGATTCCAGAACTACAGTTGGATCCCCCCTGCTTTAATCCCTTGGTCCTGCCAGATGGGGGCGACCCCTTGGTGGCGGAGGTTATTTGTCAAGGGGAAGGACGCTGGGCTGATGATAAGCTTAGTCATTGGTTTGATCTGCCTACCTGTCGTGCCATTAAGGCTATTCCACTTCCCCGACAGAATGTGGATGATAAACTTATCTGGCATAATACAGCTGACGGGGTGTTCTCGGTTAAATCCGTGTATCATTTGGCTATTGAGTTAGAAAGGAGGAGTGGCGGGTGGCGATCGTCGGCCAGTCGGATGGATAAGCCCAGTTGGATCCGGATGTGGGAAGCTGAGATCCCTCATAAGCTGAAGGTCTTTGTCTGGAAAATCTTTCATCGGGCTCTGCCGACCACTGAGGCTCTCATTGAAAAGAAGGTTCCGGTGTTGCCCCGATGTCCGGTATGCTGGGATAGTCCCGAGACGATGGAGCACATGTTTCTTTACTGCCCGGTTGCGCGGGCTCTCTAGGACTACTCAGGATTGGACTATTTGGGGAAGGGTTTGCCTCGGTGCACGTTTCCGTTGTTTCTCAAGCAGATGCTTGCCCTTGTCCATCAGTCGTCGCTGTTCATGAATGTGGTTGCCATCCTTTGGCGGATTTGGCGGTCGCGTAACTGGGTTGTCTTTGAGGGCAAACAGTTTGGGATCCCAGTTCTAATGCGCCAGTTTCACCAGCACTATGAGGAGTGGGTAGGCCTGCTAGTGGACCAGGCGCCAAGGGTGTTTTGCCCGGTGGTTCAGTCAGGGTCTCAGGTGGGTGATCCTCGAGTGGTTTGCATGTGGGATGGGGCCACTAGGAGGGGGTCACACTCGGCTGGTGGGATGGTTCTTTTCGATCCGGTGAGGACACTCCTTTCGGCCAAAGGGGTGCAGTTTCCTCAAGTTGATGAGCCAATGGTGGTAGAGCTGCTTGTGCTTCGGGAGGCTATTATTTGGTGTTTGGAGTCTGGCTTGTCCGAAGTTCGGTTTGAGGGCGATGCGAAAGTCATTATTGATAAGATTAATCAAGCGTACACAAGCGACAATCGGTTGGGGGTAGTCCTGGAAGAGACATGTCAGTATTTTCGTGTCCATCCTGGGTTTGGTGTGCGGTTTGTAGGTCGGGAGAACAATAGGGTAGCTCACTCGGTAGCTAGAAAAGCCCTCTCTTTGTATCCGGCGGAAAATCTCTTCTTTGATTTTCGGGCCTGGCTGATTTCCAGAATGTAACTATCTATTTCTTTGGATTAATATATATTATCTTTTGGAAAAAAAGTTTTTTTTGACAAAAATAAGTTTGTTACAGGTCTATACTCTATATATAACTCCATAGTTGAATTCTGTTAACAAAATTAGTTGCATTATCTGGAGGAATCCCGTTAAATAATCTCACGATCGCACAATAATTATATCTTCCCTCGAAGAGCGGATGAACCAACGGCTAATCATTATCTTTCTACATTATTAGGTCGATCGTAATTATTAATCCTTAATAAAACAAGATTTTTACGGCCGGGAGAATAACGAAAAGCGAAAGAGAAAACGTAAAGCAAAAAATCGCGCTCTACACGGTCAGTCGGTAACTAATTCCTATAAGAACACGGAGATGAGGAAAAAAAAAGCGCATACCAGTACCATCGCCACTTTCCTTTCTTTGATCTACAAGGACAACAACCCAAAAAAAAAAAAAAAAACCCTAAATAACAAGATCGATTTCCGTTCTTTAATCTCCTTCACCGATCGAGATCCCTCTCCGCCGTCGAAACAATGCGCTACTTATCGTTCGAGTTTCATTCCGGCAGTCACAATAGTGGGTGCCGAGAGAGCTTCTTGAGGGATTTCAGGGAGCTGGGGGAAGAAGGGCCGGAATCCGCCGTCAGGAGAATCGTCCAACTGTCCCATATGGCGGCCGAGATCAACGGCCAGGATCGCGTCTTCGGTCCGCTCGTCAAGTGCGTGGAAGACGCACTAGTGGGCCCCGCCGCGGAAGATATTAACAACGGTACTGCTGCGAGGACGACGACTGATGACGTGTTGTTCGCGCGGGACCTACCCAACGGCGGCGGCAGGGTCACCGTGTCGAGATTCACCGCACGTGCGATGGTGGCGGACGTCCCCGACGACGAGGAGTACGACTACGACAGCGAGCTGGAGCGGCGGCTCTGCGAGGACGATGATATCGTCCTTGAGGAGGATATGGGATTGGAATTGGAATTGGAGAGCGAGAGCGAGGAGGAGGAGGAGGAGGCGGTGGATGTGGAGGAGTTTCTAGAGGACGTGAGGGTGGAAGGCGGCGGCGGCGGCGGCGGCGGGGAGGGAGTTAAGTGTGGGGTTTGTTTGGAGGAGATGGCGGCGGGGAGTGAAGCGACGGCGACGAGGTGCCGACATGTGTACCACGGGGAGTGCATCAGGAAGTGGCTGCGGCTGAAGCTGCGGAGGGAGGACTCCGCTGCGTGTCCCTTGTGCAGGTTCCCCGCCGCCGCCGTGGCGGCGGACATGCAGGAGAAAACTGGATGACGCCACGTGGAGGACCATATGTGAGGGGTTTAATCGTTTGTGATATATTTAGTCTTTGTTTGTGGTTTTGGAGGGAGTAGTTTGTTAGTGTATGGTATATGATCTACGATTGATGGGACCAACTCGAGTGGTAATCATATGTGAGATTGTAGCTAGAGTTCATCTCCCGGATCGTATAGATATAGTTTCGAACCATGCAAGGTCCTGATCTAGTTTTTGATATCTGATCAAGCCTCATTTGGAGAACCTAACACCTACATGACGTTGGTTCTTTCGTTAGGAATTAGGATTGATGGATTAACAAAACGCCATCTATGTTGTTTTGGATGAAATAGCATATATATTCTATAACATTCGAAGTCTTGGGACGCAAGGAATTGATCATTAGTGGGAGTTCCCCCCCTTGAGTATGATGCATAGCCAAGTAGCGTTTTCAATGAAAAAGCAAAAGCAAAAGCATCTCATATAGAATTCTAAGTCTTGAGATGCAAGAAATTCATCGATTTTGGGAGCTTTCACTTGAGTATATGATGCAATAGCCAGTGAACCACAGTCGCATTCACACTTTATAAATCCCCGACATAAAGCAGACGCCCATACTTGCCTAGAAAACGTCTAGAAAATTGGACCACAGTGTAGTGTAGGAAACATAAATTTTTCGGTTCTATATATTCTTTACTGATTGAGTTTTTCTCATTAAGAAATAAGAGAATAATTATTCTCTAAACCAAAACAGTTAAAATAGGGATTTTACCTAAAATCGAAAACTGGGGTGAAATCTGAATCGTAAAATCGAATCGTAAATTCGTAGGTTTTAAGTACCATATAGAACATAACATACAACATATAAGAATATTAGTAAGATAAATCATTAATAACACAAACACACATAGCATTTAAAATGATAATTTTCAAGATTTTGTTTACAGAAGATAATTCTCAAGATTAATGTTCCAAAATTACTATTTTAATTGTTATTAAATGCATAACTCAAAATAATTCATGATGAAGGGATAGAGCTCATGGGGTTTGGCTCTTGATTTCATGTCGTGTCTAGGTAGTTTAACTCAAAGTAATCAATGCAGTCAAAATCGCGCTTTAAAACTTAAAAACTTACGATTTTACGCTTTTAGGTCACCAAAACGCTTTCGTTTCCATATAAAAACTTAAGTGTATAAAATCGGACTAAATTGCGCTTTAAAGCTTACAAGCTTACAGTTTTACGCTTCTAGTTCACCAAACGCTTTACACTTTTACGCTTTTAGTTCACTAAATGAGTATTCTTTTCATGAAATTAATTATAGAAAGTATATTTTAAAAGTAAATCACCAACAATATGATACATTTGAGATTAGAAGATACATATAAGGTACTTGGATGCATTCTCAACTTCAATAGAGTAATCTAATTCACCAGCTAGGTTTTTCCCAAATTCATTAGCATAGAGGGGAAAGTGGCTTATTGCTAAAATTTATGTTTGCGAACTTATATTATTAAGATGCTATAAGTTGTTCTACTTTAGGCATGAATCGCAACGATTTATTAACTTATCTAAATTCTGTGCATTCATATTTTGCATAGCATATGTCCTACTTAATAGATTTTTAGTTATTTTTCAGTATGGGTAAAAAACTTACACTTTTACGCTTTGATTCTACGCTTTACGATTTTACCCCTTTTCCGCTTCTAGGTAGAATCGCGCTTTTGACTGCATTGAAAGTAATATTCCGACGTCGTCTACTAAGTATGATTTAAAACTAAAAATAATTGAAATCCAATAAAATAAGTAATGCTAGTGGCTTGGTATAAATATATTCATTAATAAATTAATTAGTTTATAATGATGTTAATTCTTACATACTTACAATATTAGGACAATTGTTTTACCAATAAGTTAAATGGGGCGAAGGGAAAGGGATTTACCGAGCACTAATTTGGTTATTTTATTATTTTAAATGATTTCTCATAGAAAAACATATGAGAAGATTCCCGTCATTGCCCTTTCCGTCGAAACAGTTATGCTTCTTTTAAATTGGCTCAAACCACCTATTTTGTTCTCATACGATCAAAATCCCGATTTTGGTACGGTTTTACGATTTTAACGATTTTAATCCTGATTTTAAACGATTTTAAGGTCCACCGATTTTATAGTAAAATCCGGATCGAAAATCCTAAATAAAATCCTACGATTTTACGATCAAAATTCCGATTTTGACTGCATTGCTCTAAAACCTAATCATTCTCTCTCTTTTCCTCTCCCTTCACTTAGGGGCGGCCGAATTTCCTCCTCAAACTCACTTTTCTTCTTTCTCGATCAAACTCCAAATTATAGTCCCTCAATTCTCTATATAATTTTCTTAATCACAAGCTTCGACCCTAGTCGTATGCGCCTAGTTCCTTAGTTCCTTCACACAGTCCCAATAAATTTAGGGTTTATGGTGGGCAATGATTCGGTCCAAACTATAACAAATTATACATAAATAATATTTAGCCGAATGAAATTATATCTAATATTGGTCGACTCCCGCACTCTCATCGGGAGTTCGACTATTGGTCGACTCCCGCACTCTTTTGTCCTCTCCTATTTGATTGATTTTAATAAAAACTGAACTTGGAAAAAAAAAATTATATCTAATATGTTTTTATTGGATTTTGATCACATGAATTATCTTAAATACGAAAGAAAATTGGACATAAATATAATTTTGATGGGAGAAACAAAACAACATTTGTTTTTGATCTGGTTCTAGATCGAGATTAAAAGCAAATGTGGCTTTCAATCTGGTTCTAGATCAAATCAAGTATGTATAAGAAAATTGAGGATCGGAATCGTGATAGATTCGGTTTTGACTATTTCAATTTTAAATTCGATTCATTTTCTCTGTATAAAAGACCATTTGTAGAATCAAAACCAAATCAAATTATATTAAATCCAATCCGATAAAAATAACCACTTTGTACAGTGTGAACTAAACCGCTCCCCACCCCTACAAATGTCAAAGTCCTAATTTTTCTTACAACAAATTTGACATAAGTACAACACATTAAGTACTCAATATTAATCTAAATTAAATGTAGTAACTAATTAGTAACAGTTCAACCGTTGTGTCCCTCTCCAAACTAAATGTGAATCAATATGATCAACCGTCGTCATTCCAATTCTAATGGCGCCAATCGATTCGTCTCTCTAGCACGGCATATCCTCACGCTTCGAAACACTGCCTTTGCTCCACCAAAATCAAAAGGTTTTCATGTATATAAAACTCCATCGTTCTACCACTTCGTATTCCCCTGCCTCCTCACAATTCTTACCACCAAATGGCGTCCAACAACTTCCTTCTCAACGTCGTGGCCACCGTCACCACCACCCTTTCCACCGGCGACCTCGTCTCCGACATGAAGCACCGCATCTTCCCACTCCCCCTCCACCCGTTGCTCAACAAAGAAACTGCCCTGCCTCATGTGCGAAACGTTTCGGACGCCATCTCCATTCCCCTGCACCCTTCCGTCCTGGAAAAAGTCGTGGACTCTGCTCGCCACGTTGTTTCGGGAGACCGCCGTTTTGTCACCATGTCAGGCATGCCTTTCGTCACGGTTTGCATCTCGGTCGACCACGGTGTAGTCTCTGCTGATGGCGAGTTCGATGCAGATGGTGATGATTATGAGGACGATGAGGATGATGAGGATGATTACGATTATGATGATGATGATGAGGAGGAGGATGACGAGGAGGATGAGGAGCCACCGCATAAGGAGGTGGAGAAAGGTGGGAATGGTGGCGCCTGCCGTGGTACTACGCTCGAGGTGAAGAGTGTGGTAGTTGAAGAGCAGGGGAAGATGTGCGCCATCTGTTTGGAGAGGTTTGAGGTGTCCGGTGAAGCGATTCGCCTGCGGTGTGGTCATCTTTATCATCGTGATTGCATTGGGAATTGGCTGCAGAAGGGGAAAAGGCAATGTCCTGTTTGCAGATCCCAGATTCCCTAGTTAATTAGTTATGGGCCATGTCACTATTATAGTAATACCTATGTCTTTGATTTTCTGTAAGGTTCATAAGTTACTCCGTGTAAAAGACCCTCCTCTGTTTTCCATTGATTCTTTGTATGTGAACAATTGTTCTTTGTATGGTTGATATGGAGAGATTAACATAAAGATCAGCACTTTTTTGATGTTTCCTTATCTTTTTTTTATTACAAAATCCAGTTACTTGCTTACCAAGTTACGACACTAGAAAATCGCAAGTGAGCGAGCAAAGGAAACAAGTAATTGAATGAATCATGTTGCTCTGAGGCCGGCTGCAGATAGACCTTCCGGCAGGCAATTTCAATGTACATATGTTCTCTAAACACTCCTACCCTGCAATACCTACTAATTCCTCTACCACCATTGGCTAAATGAAATCAAAGCAGCCAGAAAAGAAGAAAGCAAAGAGCCATAAAAAAAAAAAAATCAATTTACACCTCAACTCTACGCCAGAATCACAGGACTCCAAAGACAAACCTCTCGCATAGCTATTGAGTCTTGGGAGGCAGGGAATTCACATCGCTTTGGGATACTGTTGGAGGCGGTGGTGGTGGACCGTCGCTGTAACTCAATGGAGACTCGGAGACTTGTGATGGACTGGGGCTCTTGGTGCGCTTTGCTGACATGACCTTCTCCAGAATGGTGATGACCTCGGGCATGCTTGGCCGGACTTTGGCATCCCCGAGACAGTGCAAGGCGAGGAACGCGACCATGAATGCAGCCTTCTGAGGGTACTGCCCTTGCAGCTTGGTGTCCATCACCCTGAACAGCTTTCGCTTGTCGTTCAAGTAAGGTCTCACCCATTCTATTAGGTTCTGCTCCACCCCTACTTTGGTCTTGTCCACCACTTGGCGCCCTGTCAGCATCTCCATCAACACCACACCGAAGCTGTACACATCACACTTTGCTGTCAGCCGACCTGTGTTCATCATCGATACGCAGACGTTTCGTTAGTTTTGATCAGATAGTAGTACTGCACAATCTAGCTTTACTTCAACTTCAGGAGAATAAGTGATGAATTTTGATTCAATCCCACTACCTACCTGTAGCAATGTATTCAGGTGCAGCATATCCGCGAGTGCCCATAACTTGGGTGGAAACATGGGTGCGATCACCTGTTGGACCCGCCTTCGCCAAGCCAAAATCTGAGAGCCTCGGATTGAAGTCCTGCGTATGTAACAGAAGATTAAGTCCGAAAGTTCATGGTATGAAGGAACTCAGGATCAGAGAAATGGTAATGCTTGGTGAGGAGATAACGTTCAACTAACCGAATCTAAGAGAATATTGGATGCCTTGAAATCACGGTAGATAACTTGTTGTTCTGAGTCATGCAGGAAGGAAAGGCCTCTGGCAGCACCCATGGCGACTTTCATCCTTGTTTTCCATGAAAGAGGCTCTCCTTCACCTGGGAAGTAATACAAATTCATTATTCGTTATAACAAAATGGAATGTGCTTTCCATGAGCCAGGAATCCACTTCTTTGTCCTTGTGTTCTAAAAGAAAAAGAACAGAAGCAGTACTTACTTTTAAACAGGTGATTCTCCAGGCTTCCTTTGGGCATGTAGTCATAGACCAGCAGGCGGTTTTCTCCATCTAAGCAATAACCTATAAGTTTCACCAAATTTGGGTGGTGGAGTCGGCCGAGATAATTCACTTCAGACTGCAATAAAGCAGGCAGTAATTGTAAGAAAAGGTATATACACAGCTACACTAGAAAAATGCTGGACCGAAAGCAGCAAGAGATGAGTACCAGCCACTCCTTGTGACCCTGAAAACCGTCGGGTTTAAGCTTCTTGATGGCCACAACTTTGCCTCCATTTCCCTTTCCGGAATGACAGGTCTGTTCATCAAGCCACCCTTTGTAAACAAAGCCGAATCCCCCTTCTCCAATCAAAGCATCAGGGTTGAAGTCCTTGGTGGCTTCCACTAGCTCAGCAAATGTGAAGGATTTCAAGTTAACTGATGACAATATGTCTCCCTCGGATCTCAAATGAAGAAGCGAGCTCTCCTTTGTACCACCCTTCTGATTGCTGCTTTGTTTCTTACTCAAACTCAATAGTGATGATGAGTGGGATTTTCTTTCTGGAACTCCTGAATATCCTGATGGGCAGCAAAAAAGACCAACAATCAGCTTCAACAATGCTAGTTATTAGCCTTCACACATCTTTCCCTCATCCATCAACATCCCACCACTATCTGCAAAATTGATCTAGATGCTTGATATAGACAAAAGAAGTTTGAAACAGTCCAGAACACAGTGAAAAGCCAGAACTTTGCAATCTCTTCAATAGGTGGGATTTGAACAAGATTGCCTCAGAACCCTTGCTAGGATCTGCTTGCTATTCCAAAGCCCTTTTCAGTTTCTGAGTTCAACCAAGTTTTGGTGGCAAAAACCCATATCAATTGAATTGGTAGAGCAACCAAAAATCACCAAAAGAACCACAACTACAACATTGAATCCCTGCAAATGCCAGATAGGGACAACTACTAATCGACAAATCAATCGAGAATCGAAATTCTCAAACCACATTTGCTCATATGAAAGGACAAAGATAAGCATTGCCAAAACAATAACCATTGGGGAGCACAAATATTTGGGGTTTTCGTACCTGCAGCAGGGTTGTCCTGCAAAGCGCTGAAAGACTTGTGTTTGTCATCCAACATTTTCTTCCCGCGAGCAGGGCTCTTCTCCTTACGGAAATTGAAGCACGACATTGTCAGATTTCCTCCCAAATGAAAAATCAAAATCCCCAGAGAAGAAAACCCAATGCGATCCGAGCGTTATTATTAACAAATCCCAGACAAAAATCCGAGCTTTTTATTCTGGTTGTTCCTGTTCGGCGCAGTGAAGCGAATAATGGAGTGCGAGAGAGATGGGAAAGATTGAGATCAGAGAAGAGAGAGAAGAAGAACAAACGTTGGCTGATTAACGTTTTGTTTAATGTATTTATTTATAAAACCAATTCTCCAGATGCAACAATTGAGGTGATTTTAGCAGCAGAAGAAGAGGAGAAGAACGATGAACGAATTGAGGAGAGAGAGAAAGAGAGGTCGTCCTCCATGGATGTACGTTTTTGTTTCTTCTTCGAGAGAGAAGGACGAGAAACGAACGCGTTTCTAGCGGGAAACCATTTTTGTAAACCAATTTCCCCGCGGCCCCTCTCCCTCAGTTCCCAGGATGAGCTTGTCGGGCTGTTCCTTTGCTTATAATTGAGGATTGAGAGGACAACGACGAGGTCCCAATTGGGATATTGGACGATAGTTCGAGGACCGAATCGGTAATTTGAACTGAAGTGGTTTATATCAATTTTGGGGTTAATGAAAGGGAACGGCATTATTTCTTTCCTGTAACGACTTCAAATCAAGAATATCCCAACTAAATAGAGATTGGTTTCTATTTGATTTTAATTTCCGATTTATTCGTTTAAAGATGAGATATATGTAAACTGATTTGATGTGGGTGTTAAAATACCTCTTTTTTTTTTTTTGCCGCAAAAAGATAATCATACAAAAGGATTAGAGTTGGTGTTAGCCTTATACTAGTTAAGAAAATCAGAATTAGACTAGTTTGTTATGGGTAGGTATTTTATGCTCTACTAAAATATATAACTTAATTAGTTGATTGATAGTAACTATATATATTATCATAAGAAAAAATGAACAGAATATGGGTGTCAATGTGAAGAATGAGAAGATATAAGAAACATAATTATCAATTATTGCGCTTCGACATCTTAACTCTATTGAAACTTCTGAAGAATAAAAGAAAGTAAGACCAGACGATTCTGAAGTGATGATTTGCTAATGGGATTGCTAAATGTTCAATGCTAAAACTAACAAATAACCATCTTGGAGCTCCCTTTCATAAGAACACAACTCAGAAGAAACCAGTTCTTAATATAATAGTGCCTCTTGAGGTTTAGTACCATATACCAGATACAAATAGCCATTAGGGATGTCGAACGATCGGATTTCTCTGAACTCAAACCCATCTTAGCGGGCGGACCCACACGCACACAAAAAAACCCATAACATATCAACAGAGTATTAGAAGAGAAAATCCAACCGTGAATATAACCACACTTTTTTTCCGAACATCCATAAGTGATATTATCAAATTTTCCCTTCAAATATACTTTCATAAAGACTAATAACTTATATAAATTGTTTATACTATTAGGATTATATTGTCATAATGACTAATAACATCCATAAATTTTCATATCGTATATGTCATACACAAAACGTTATTTTGCATTATGGGTGTGAGTGGGATGGAAAGCGATTTGTGTTTTGGCAAAATCCAAACCTATCCAAACCTGCCAAATTTAAAGCAAGTAAAATCAACACCTGACCCACATTCCGTCAACATTGTGTTTTACCGGTTTTGATCGTGCTGGGTCAAGTTGGGTACCCATGGAGTTAGGTTCGATTGCTATCACTAGTAACCATCAAATGAATAAAGAAGAGAAAACCGAGTCAAAAGAAAACTTTGATATCATATTACAAATAAAATGTACTTTTGTAAGGATGACAAAACTATTCTTTTATGCATAAGTTCATATTAAAAAGAAGTAATAAGCAAGTGAACTCAAAATATTAAGGACACCTATCTGATAGTTTGATACTAAAGATATTCCCATTCACACTAAATCCAATTGAAAAGGGAACCATAACTTGCATTGACTACTATCATACTCACATTACTTATAACACAAAATCATAGATTTACTATGTATAAAAAACAGGGAAATCATAGATCAGAAGAGGCAGATGAGAGAAACTTGATATAATGATGTGCGGCTACCCTACAACTTTAAATTTTGTGTCTCTAATCTGAGAAGAGAAACACATGTGTTCACGAATATAACCACACATTATATCTTTGAACATTTACATCTATTTATAAATTATTTATGTTGTTAAAGCGAGACACAAAACGATTTTGCTTTGCTCTTCAGGTGTTTGTGGGATGAAAAACGGTTTGGATTGGGTTTTGCGAAAATCCAAACCTATCCCGACCCGCACAATTTTTGTATTAGGGTGACATATATTGATTTTTATAGGTAGGTGCTACTTAAAGGATTCGAACATGTGACATCTAGGTTTAAGACTAGTTGTATTGTATGTTTTTTTTATAAGGGTGTTGTATGTTTGTTTTTATAGTTAGGTGCTACTTAAACAATTTGAACATAAGACCTCTATGTTCAAGATCAGTGGCCCAACCAAAAAATTTAAAGCAGGTAAAATTCACACCCGATCCAGATCTCTATCAACACTCAGTTTACCTGCTTTGACCGTGTTGGTTACCCATAAATTCGGGTTCAATTGTAATCCCTATTTTTGGCATTACAATACAAATCAAACGTACTTTTGTAAGGATGACAAAACTAATCTTTTATGCCTAATTAAGTTCATATTAAAAAGAAGTAATAAGCAAGTGAACTCATAATATTAAGGATGCATATCTGATAGTTTGATACTAAAGATATTCCCATTCGCACTAAATCCAATTAAAAAGGGAACCAAAACTTCCATTGACTATCGTACTCACATTACTTAAAACACAAAATCATAGATCTGAAGGGGCAGGGGAGAGAAACCTTGAAATAATGTTGCGAGGCTACCCTACAGCATTAAAATTTTGTGTCTCTAAACTGAATTGGGGAAGAGAAGATGCCAAGCCAAAGCCATGGCAGTAGCATGTGGAGATGTAGCTGTTATAAGCAACCAAACTCATTTTGGCATCATGCAAGCTTTGGCTTTGGCTTCTTCCTTACCCTTTGACTTTGCTCTCCCAAATTAAATTTTAAGAAAATTGGAAGCCATCATATATTCATGTAACCAACATAAGTATATGGTGAGATATCCTTGAAAGGGGACATTAATGGAGCAGGGGTACTGTATTGCTTTAATGGCTTTTGTTCTGCTAGCTCGAGCTTCTTCCAATAATGCAAGCTAAACGGAGTAACTATGTCTAGACATTGCTATTGGGTATGTCTATGGTTGGTCACTTTGGTAAAAAGGTTGATGGATAAGTGGTTATGGTCGACCGATTACATCATGTTGGTCATTTTGTTGAAAGATTGTGGTCGATTTCAAATTTCGACCTATCGACCATGCATATGAGACTCATAAGTAGAAAGGTTGACCTTATTCAACAAAGTGGTCGACCATATCAACAAAAGGTTGACCATTCCAGAGAAGAAGTTGACCACACGGAAGAACGCTCGACCCTCGAACTTATAAAATCGTCTTCTTGGTAGATTAAAATGATTGGTTTTACGGTTGACCTTGTACAAGAACAACAACTTTGAGTTGTTGCCTATTCTTGTCGACCTCATAAGGCCTAAAATGTCATGCACCTTCTGAAATAAAACAAACTACCATAAAAATTACGAAATAAAATTCAATCGACAATCATAGTAGCATGAAATAATATCTTCTTAAAAGCTTAATCATTAACACAATAAATACACCTCACAATAGTTTACACTTGTCTCAAATCAAAAATCACAATGACTTAATATCAATCCACAGTCATGGTTGCTTTAAACCAAGTCATCTTACAAGCTTAATTAATAGATTACACCAAAATTCATAAAAAGCATAATGTAATTCATAGAGTTCATTGATCTTTCTATCCTCGATCAACTTGATTATCCCGATTGGTGCTACTAAAATTTTGATGCTCGAATGTGTTGGGATTAGGGCAGCAAATGAGCCGAGCCGATTTTTACCCCAACTTGAGCTCGGCTCGTTAATAAACGAACCGAGCTCGAGCTAAGCTCGTTTAGTAACGAGAAGAGTCTAGTCGAGTTCGAGCTAGCTTGTTTACTAAAATCTTGACTTTTATTTGGTACTTCATTTTGTATGTCATGATACATATGCTTTATTTTGTTAGTTAATCTCATATATACTTTGTTGGTATCATATATCATTTATTTAATAAATTTTAACTACTCCATATCATATTATGTTATAGTATCGAAGCAATCTATAATACATAATTTCATTTTAAAATAGAAAATAAGATATATTTGCTCACATACTCAACGTGTTAAACTTTATATATGGTAAAATATATAATTTAACAACCATATGAATTAAAATCATAAGATATAGATTGATTCGTCCATAAGACGGTAATCGAGTTGGCTCTCTATCCACATGTTGAGACATATCATGAGCTCTAAACGAGCGAGCTCATTAGTTTAGCTCAACAAGCCACCGAGTCGAGCTAGCTCGCGAGCTTCACGAGCTAAACAAAGCTTAGCTCATGTTCGGCTCGTTTATTAACGAGTCGAGTTTCGAACGAGGTTTTCTCGAGTCGAACGCCGAGCCGCTCGCGAGCAACTCGGCTCATTTGTAGCCCTAGTTGGGATACATGTATCTTTCGTCGAAAGATCATAATTCATCCCTCATCTAAGTTACAGTTACCTGCAGTGTGCTCATCTAGCTGGATATTTGCCCTATATAATCAGACGTGTGATCCCATATCGCGTTGAGGGTGGCTAGTGGAGTTCAATCATCTGCCTATGTCATTGGCTCTAGGGGTGGCTATACGGTCTAGTCCGGTTAAATTGGACCAAATTGATCAAGATTGGATTGGATACAGTCCGGTCTTGACCAGGTCCGGTCCCAATTTTATCTTGATTTTAGGTGTTGGGGGTTTCTTATCCGGTCTTTATCCGGGTTTTTTTTACCTAAAATCAAGCCCAAATATGAGATTGGATTGTTTGTTATCCGATCCCAGCCCGGTCCCGGTCCGGGTTATACGGTCCGGTTTCGGATAAAACCAAACAGTCCGGACCAAATAACCAGCCCTAATTGGCTCGTCCCTAGACTCTTCATCTATCTCATCGTCGTTTGCATTAGTTTCTTCATCATCCTCATTTTTTTCAGCATCCCAAATATGCATGTCATCGTCATCGTCCATGTTTGTTTCTTAATGCTCGGCATTATGAGTACCATTGTCCATGTTTGTTTCTTCATTATTCATCTTGTAAAATCGGAACCAGAATCTTATATCAATATGCAAAAGGAAGTTAAGCACTTACAAACAAAAGGGACCAGATACAAAAAGCTTACATGAGGTTTACCATTTTTTAGAAGCGCTCGACCAAGTGAGTCATTAGGTCGCTGTTTATTGAATGTAGTAAAATGAAAAATATTGCATTTATTATTAAATTTAG